TTTCTCTCTTTTATTCGTCCCCCCTCCCACCTCTCTATTAACTAAACTCTCCTCATCCCAAGAATTTATCTTCTCTTGTATTGAAATAAAATTCTGATTGCCGTACACTGTACAGGAAAATATGTGGATATCCTCCTGTTTACCAGACTGTACAGGACATGGTACATATAACATGAGTGCCGGTACATGTTCTTGCACTACGGGATGGACTGGTCAATACTGTAATATAAGTAAGTGCTTAAATTAATCTTATATTTTTGCAAATAGATTATCAAGTACAATTGGTGGCAACAGAGAAAAGGACCAATTATACACGACGTCATAAGTGTCAAATATAACAAGGAAAAAAACTGAATTGACACTTGTGACGTCAGAATACAGCTGTACTGAGAATGTACAAATTCTACGTTGCCATCTTTTGTACTTAACGATCTATGTGTATTTTTGTAATATTTGAATAAATTATTTTATTATACTATTGTAAATAGTTGTAAGTTACTGCAGCTAATATCAACCATGTAGTTACCAGCACAAAGTTAGCTTCTATCCTGTCACTTATGTCGTCACTTTTGTAAGTGCCAAAAAAAATTTGGATTTTGTTACTAAATACGATCCTAGAGGTAAAATACAATAGTATTGGTAAGGTGAAGTTGAGGGTGAGTATGTGAGTGTGTGTATGTGAGGGTGTGTATGTGAGTGTGTGTATGTATGAAAGAAACCTATTTGTCAGTTTAGTGAGTCCCTCGGGGTTTGGAGAGGACCTCGTTATAGAAGGAGGGGGGGGGGGGGGGGGGGAGAATGTCATTTTATTTTCACCATTTGCCTTCTTTTAAATTTCTATAAGAGTATTTTTTATTTACTTGTTACTCATGTAATTGAAGGATTTCTATGTATACATACTCTAAGGTTTGAATTGAAGGTATTCTATTTTAATACATGCTCTGAGTTGAATGGTGATGAATTGTAGAGTTTAATTTTGAGATTGAAAACCTGTGTTTATGAGAAGGAACACGGAATAGGATTTAATCAACTAGAGATATATACTGTTGAAACGAAGGAAGCAGGGGGAGGAGATAATGGATAAGATTAAAGGGACTGTAAACGTAATTTCAAGTGACCCTTTATGCAAGAATGGCAATTCCCGATATACAAAGGTACCCTTGACACCTTAATCTGATAAATAATGGGGAAGATATTGTTGTTTTTCTAGGGTTAAACGTGTTTAATTCCTACTTGTCATTATGCTTACAGTTACAGTCCATTTACGGGGTAGAAATATTAAGTGTTTTACAATTTAAAAAAGAAGGGGTGAGTAAGGTGCAGAGGGTTTGAAAGAAGGCGAGGTAATTTTATGAGGGGTGAGGTGAGTGAGGGAAGAGCAGTGTAAAGTGAGTTAAGGGCGTGGTAAGGTGAGGAAATGGGGCTGGTAAGGGTAATCAAGGGGCCGAATTAAGATTAAGAGGGTGAAGTAAAGTGAGGAAAGGGGGCGGGGTAAAGTGAGGTAATGGGGGAATTATTTGCAAACAGGGGGAATTATGTTTAAAAGGTTAGGATTAAAAGATAATTGTAAAAACATGTATTACGCTTTTATAACAACTTGTTATCGTAAAATTAATCCCAACAGCGTGGATTATACTTTTCAAAATATTACTAAATCAGTTTATAAATTATGAGTTAAAGGGTTGCCTAAAAAACAAACATACTTTAAAGTCAACCTTAAACTCGTTGAATATGAAGATTTGAAGGTAGAATTTGGTCTAATAATTTTAATGATATTATATATAGTTACTTTCTCAAAGAAATAACATTCATATCTGCCAGGAAACTGTAAAGTAAAAAGATGGAAAAATGTAGGATTTACATCTGCCAGGAAACTGTAAAGTAAAAAGATGGAAAAATGTAGGATTTATATCTGCCAGGAAATGTAAAGTAAAAAGATGGAAAAATGTAGGATTTACTCTCAGAAATTTTAGAATCAATGGAAATTTTCGAACATTACTTTGTAAAGTGCTGGTTGTAACTTTGACCTGTATTTAAATAAGATTTTAGATTATTTAGAATATTAAGTCTTTTAAGTCTAATTGTGTATTAAGAATATGGAGTCTTTTAAGTCTTTTAAAGGGACTGAAAACTAAAATTTCAAGTAGCTCTTCATTTGTAGAATAGCATGCTCGACTCACAACGTTATCCTTAAAACCTTGGTTGATCAAGAATTATAAGATATCCAAAATCTTCTCTTATTGTCAGTTGCGGAAACAATGGAGGAATTGTCAGAATTATATAATGTATATCTTCCACATTATTAATTATTATTATTTATATAAATCCCACTCTTAAAATGTGAGGTCACTTGAAAAATTAGAATTCCACAGTCTCTATCAGGGAAAGGGGGAGAGAGAGAAAGTACCATGAGATGAATAGATTGGTCCCTTATGGTTCTAGTACCCCCATGGGGAAAATTTAACTTACGGTGTCCTTAGCATTTGTCCAGAACCTGGGGGAATACGACCGAATCTAGTGAAAAAAATATCAAACCCATCACGCGGATTTAACGGGCTTTCTCTCTTTTATTCGTTTTGGTCGGTATATACGTTTAAAACGAGAAAAAATAACAGACAACTGCGTAAGTTAAAGATTGTGGAATTATGACGAACAAGTGATTAAGAAAATACCGAAAGCATCTCGCCCTGGTTATTCCGGGATACCGTAAAACTGAGTTTTACAAATGAGGTATGGCAACTTTGCAGATATCTAGGTTTTTTTTCATAAATATAGCGTCTCTTCTGAAAAATCAAGGTGAACGATAGACAAAACACCATAAAAGAAAATGGAGCATATTCTTCTGGAAAAAAGAGGAACAAAGTAAAATGGATTTTTTATTTATTTTTTATTCTTCAGGTTCTTGTTCCTTGGATTGTGGAGTTAACGGTGAATGTCTAGGGTCTGCTTGTGCTTGTAAACCTGGTGAGTAATCAGTAATCAACCTTTAAAGGGACTGTCAACTAAATTTCAAGTGGAAATCCATTTTTGAGTTTTACTGAATTTTACAATCACATCATGCAAACGTTTATGTGAACAATAAATAGATATTGTTGAAATTTCTAAATTAAATTTAGTCAAATTCTGGACTTTGTCACTGCTACATAATATTACAAGGGGTTTAAATTTGTGAAAATTGGTGTTTATCTATATACAAAATATAAAATAAACCATAATACAAATACATATACCATATACCATATACCATATACAAAATTCAACAACAATTATTTTTTTTTTGTATCTTGTCTTCATGATGTGATAGGTCAAGGTTATAATGCAAGGAAATTTAATTGCAGTTGCGTATAATCTGTGTACATATTAAAACCAGTTCTTTCTGGGCGGAATTTGTAAACAAGAATAGATGCATCAATGTTCGTTTAATATCCGAGGAGGTTAAAAACATTAAATTTTCAGAATTTTGAATTTTGATAATTCACATAATAGTTTCCTATGACCAGAATATTTCATTGATTTTTATGTGAAAAATGGATCCTATGTCAGGCTTCGACATCCGTCTTGTGTTTACATTACCGCCCAGAGACAGTACACTGCAGTACAAAAGATGCTTAGTGCTTACACCTCTGAAATAACTTTCCTTGTATTATAACCTTAGCCTAAGTCAGGTTTTAAATTAACTAAATTAGAAATAATTGAAACTAACAACAAAGGGTTACTCTAGCAGCTAACTCGTAAGAAAGAGTAAGAAATTGAGAATTAAGAAAATGTAAATAGGAACTTACCAAAGTCTAAAACAAAACAGAATGTTATGATAATCTAATAACTATTTGAATCTTAAACCTTCTTAAGAGAAAAGCTTTTCTTCCTATGAAAGAAATGAACTTTTGCATTTTAATGCGCAGAGAGAAAATGAACAATATATTCATTAAACAAATTTTTATTATCAGGTTGGGAGGGATATAGATGTGAGATGAAATCATGTAGTTCGTCCTGTCAGGCAAACATTTCACAAATGATAATAAACAGCTAATAAACAGATAATAAACAGCTAATAACCTAAGTATAAACAGTTGATGAACAGATTATAAATAGCTGATAAACATAATTATAATTATATAATTATAATTATAATTAAAAGATAATAAACAACTGATGAACGAAGTATAAACAGTTAATAAACAGCTGATTAACAGATAAAAACTGATAAACAGCATATTCAAAGATTAGAGTCCAAAAACCCAGAAATTTTTAGATAGGTAAATATTAAAATAAAAAATGATAAATTAATTAAAATCTTAACGCAATTGCCATATTGGACACTTCTGAACAGAACTGTTTACTGAAAAGTTTTTAAAATCCATGAAATCCGGGAAAAGCTCGACGATGATTTTGACATAAATGATCGATTAGATCAGTCTCTAAATATTAGCTTAATTGTTTAGATCTGCATAATGTGGAGATTTATGCTTGATTCTGAGATTTACTTCACAACACAAACGTTTTTAACTTCTGATTTTACAAACTAAACCCTGCTGGATAAAAAAAATTAATTTTGAATCATCAAATGTTACACAATTAGGCTTGAAAGATAAGATAGTTAGAAAATTAGAGTTTTAGGCAAGTGTTCAGTTACTTTTCCGTGTTTATTTAAGCAGTAGGCAGTATACATACATGTTGAACATTGTTGAATAAAATTTTATAAAATTTGTATTCTTGTCACGAAAATACAACAATTTTGCAACTATGGACTCAGCAGGAGTTGGGGGGGGGATATACAGTACCCGGATGAGGGGGGGGGGTAATGCGGGAATCTGAATTAAACCTGCTTTCAGATTTAATATTTTTCATTTTGATAAAATGTACCACATTTGACAAGATTGAATAAAATCAACAATTTTTAAGAGATTTTTTTTTAAAATCATTTAAATAAATTTTTATTAGAAACTTATTTCTGTTTCATTCACATAATTTTAATATTTATTTTTAATAAAAAATATTTTCATTGGAACTATAAGATGCTTCACTCTCCACTTACACTCGCTTTTCTATCGTTCAATGTACTTCAGATCACTGCAGTACACACAGGAAGCTTTGTAAACTTTATAAAATATAATGTAAAATCACGAATCAACGAATCAAATGAATTTTCGTAAAAATTTGACACAGTTTTAAATAAATTTCTCGAGACAGGAACATCAGATAGATAGGTACAAATGTGAATCGGGCATGATCTTTAAGGAGGTCACTCGAAATTATAATGACTGATCATTAACAAAAGGAGAACCAATAAATGGGTTTTAACTAAATTATTTGGCTGTTCTATTTCAAAAACCGTAAACATTATTTACCCCCCCCCCCACTCATCCCCAGTATTTAGATTCATTAGCTGAGTTTATATTCTAGTAGTAGAGAACTGGAAATTAGGGAAGTTTAGAGAATTCAACCTGTATTCGATAAGACTGCATTCAATGAGATGGAGTTCAACAACAAACATTTTAAAGTAACACAAACTTACATAGTGTTCTTTACTGTAGATATAATTTCAGCTCAAGTCATCCTCCATTGATGGCATGTCCGGTTCTCTACGTTCCCTTAAGTATGAGTTAGACATCCATGTTTTTGTTTTTAAAAAACTGAGTATTTTCATTCATCATGAATTGCAAATATTTTCACCAGTTTTTTCAAAGAAGGGTTGAAAATGCCTCTAAATTAAAATAAATTTCATTGAAGTTTGAAATCCAAATCCTTTTCTTTAAGAGCTTTAAAAAGTTGAAATTCTTAAATGCAAAAGTTTTGCTTGTCATCTTTGAAAACTGATTTTCCTTAAAGAATTTAACTTTGATTAGTAAAAATAAAAAGCTTTAAAAATTAAATATAGAAAGTAAAAACTTCAAATATAGTTAAAATTTTTATTGGAATTTTAGGCATCTCTTGAGAGGATTTCTCTGGAACCTCCCCCCCCCACTCCAATAGGGTTAACCATGTTTCTGTGGACAGTCTCTGAACTTGTTTCCGAGTTCTCCTAGTGTCACATAAATAGGTTTAGATGTGTCAAACCTGACTCAGTAAATATCTTTATTTATCGTGACGTTATTGGTAAAACTTGGCCTGTTCACACACAAATATCAGGATTCGAAAGTTTACAAATCAAAAATAAAGTACAGTGATAACCAGAAAGCTATGGAATCTAAAGATGACTTTTAGAATTAATTAAACAGTCCAATGAGCATGAGACAGAGTGCCGTGTAAACAGACCCATTTGACCAATTTCAAGATTTAACAAGTCTCAGTATGGTACCAGCAGGTCTTTTGTTTCCTATGAGTAGCTGACCAACCACGACTAAGGCACTGCAAATAGGCTGGTTGGGTCTATTTGACACTGACATTACCAAACTCAATAACATAAAGATTTTTTGTACGGAATAGCCATTTTGGCTTTAAGTCCGTATGGCACATTTTTCTCCGGGCGTCGAAATAAATAATGATTTAGAAAAAATATTCCGTTTTACGGCATTTTAGAACCAAAAGTTTTTTACCAAATGTTTTACTAAAGCGAGATACGCCTTATTTTAGTTTTTTATACGTTTAAACGTTTAAACAAGAATCTAGATTTCTCAGTTTCTCTTATTAAGTTTTTACTAACGTTATAAATTCACAAAGTTAATTTTAATTGCACACATGTAAATGTAAATCTAACTTGATAAAGGTTTACGAGTTAAACTTAGCACATAACTTGTTGCAAACTTTAACTCGGTGTTTATTAAAGTTTACAGACTCCTTGGTTTAGCAAACATACCCATATTGTGGAGGATATTTAAAGGAACTGTTAGCAAATATACACATACTAGAAATTCAAGGCGATCGCGCCCTTCTTTCTAGCCTTAGAGGGCGCTTCGCGCCCATCTTCTAAATTAGTTGTGAACATGTTCTCTTTGTGTACATCGTAAAACAAAATAAAAATAATTCGCGGATTTTCACAAAAAATTTCGCGGATTTTCAAAATTTTTAAAAATTTAATGACGATCGAATTTTGATGGAGACAAATATTTGAAATTTTTATTTTTCATAAACCTTCCCTGGGGTCCCTAGATGTCCCACAAAAAATTTGAGCCCGATCGATTCAGCCGTTTTGACGTTTATTGGATACAAACAAACAAACAAACAAACAGACAGACAGACAAACAGACAAGCCAAATTTATATATAGATTGTGGAGGATATTTAAAGGAACTGTTAGCAAACATACACATATTGTGGAGGATATTCAAAGGAACTGTTAGCATATATACACATATTGTGGAGGATATTTAAAGGAACTGTTAGCAAATATACCCATATTGTGGAGAATATTTAAAGGAACTGTTAGCATATATTGTGGAGGATATTTAAAGGAACTGTTAGCAAATATACACATATTGTGGAGGATATTTAAAGGAACTGTCAGCAAATATACCCATATTGTGGAGGATATGTAAAGGAACTGTTTGCAAATATACACATATTGTGGAGGATATTTAAAGGAACTGTTAGCAAATAAACTCATATTGTGGAGGATATTTAAAGGAACTGTTTGCAAATATCCACATATTGTGGAGGATATCTTTGAGACTGTCAACACAAAAATGTCTGCAGAAAGTTCGGTACTTAAAATAAAACGACTTTTCATGAAGAATTGATTAGACCATAATTAAGTCTCACCAGCATGCATTAAATTTCTTTCTACAGGCATTGATAATAAAGATAGTTTTGAGTTTTTATCTTTAAATTAAAGCATTGTACCTCTTACGCTAAACCCACTCTTTTTTCTATAGATTACAGAACTGATACATCTTTCCCGGAACCCGTTCTTTTCTTTAAATCAGTTATCTCCTTCTATTCTATAAATTAAAGCACTGTACATTGTTCAAACAAATCCTAATTTAAGTTTAAAATAGAATATACATTAATTAAAATGTTTTACTGCCAGGACCCTAGGAGAATAAGATTTGTTAAAGGAACTGTACAAACGAAGTTTTAAACGATGTCTGATTATTAATGTACCTTTTAAATTTTTATCCTATCAATAATGTGAGAGATATTGTACATTTTCTAGCTTTGTTTAATTGTTAATTTGTAAATTGTTTAATTCTGACAGTTCTTCAATTGTTTCAGCAGCCGAAACCCACTTTAGCAAAGAAACCACGATTGAAAAAAAATCTTCTTTTTAAGAAAATAACAAGGATATCATTTATAAGTATCAGACTGAGCTGTACTGTTGGAAACTACAAGAGAATCGCTGGAACGCCTACAGTCTCTTTAAATGTTTTACTTTCCTAGACTAAAATGTGTTAAGATGGGATTTTCTCTGTTGAGTTTGTTGAATTGATGTTGACACAACTCCTTGGAAATCTATTTCAAACTCATTGAAAACTCTGCTCGACACAATATATATTTTAAGTAAAATACACACTTTTAAACACGAAAATCTTAAAGATATCTTATATTGGTTTGGTTTGGAAACTTTATTCAAAATGGTTTGGTTTGAAAACTCTGTTTTTTTTAAATGGTTTTGTCAGGAAACTCTGTTTTAAAATGGTTTAGTCAGGAAACTCTGTTTTGAAATGGTTTGGTCCGGAAACTCTGTTTTGAAATGGTTTGGTATGAAAACTCTGTTTTGAAATGGGTTGGTCAGGAAACTCTGTTTTATAATGGTTTGGTTTGGAAATTCTGTTTTTAAATGGTTTGGACAGGAAACTCTGTTTTTATCATGGTTTGGTTTGGAAACTCTATTTTGAAACGGTTTGGTTTGGAACAGGAGCATGGAGAATGCAGGAATGGAACCTGTCTCTGCAGAGAAGGATGGAATGGCAGGTTGGTAGATTTAATTCTTTAAGGGACTATTGGCATAATTCTAAAAGACCCTTTATTTAATGCCACCAACGAATTACAGGGACTGTCAGTATCATCATTGTTCTTAAAGACCCTTTATTTAACGCGTCCAATTAATTAAAGAACTGTAAACATAATTCTAAAAGACCCATTATTCAACGCCACTAACGAATAACAACGGTAACATTTAAAGGTGCTGTAAATCCCCAACATTTTGAATGTATGAGTCGCTTTAAATACCGCTAACAGTCCCTTAAATCTGGTTTGTTTCATTCTTTTTATTGTCCACAATAAAAGTTTTCGAACTGATTGTGTAAGTGCACTGACATCAAATATATCAAATCTATTCAAACTAAATGGATCAAATAATCAGACAAAGTAGAAAAATATTAATGTGTAATGAACTAAAAAACAACATATTTGAAATCAAAGTCAATAAGGAACTGAAAACTTTCTAGAAATCTAAATTTTTTAATCATTTAAATCACCTGATGTTATATTTTAAATTATGAGTTTTGCTAGATCAAGTTGTTAAAGTTTGAAATATCAAAGGGTTTTCATTTTAAGGTTGCAGAGATATGGGTAAAAGAATTTTAGAGTTTGTAACAAGTGTTCATTTCCTTTTTCAAAAAGACTAAGAGCTATTGATTGTCATTAAAGAGTTTAAAAGAAGTTTTTAAAAGAAATTTTACTTTTGTTAAAACACTGAAATGTCATCTAATTATTTTGAAAATATGGAAATTTCTAACCAAGTTTTATAATTTAGAAATTGTGGATTGGAAGGATGTGAAAAGAACTGTTTCGGAAATGGAGATTGTTTACTGAATGATGGAGAATATTCCTGCACTTGTAAATCAGGTATAATGACCCCCCCCCCCCCCCCCCCCCCCCCCCCCCCCACACCCTGTCCGAAAATCAAAATAGGGTTATGATTGAAAGCCAAGGTCTAAACTTTTTATCAAATCCGTTCAAAACACGCAGAGTCAGTTCTACAACCCCGAGGGGTCGTCCTATTTCTTTCTATCAATTCTTTACAATCTTTTTACGGATTAATCCTGAATTAGTCGAAGGTTTTATTCGTTGAGCAGGCTAAGACAATTTGTACATATTATAAAATTTGGTACATAATTGTATTGGAAATAAGTAAACTCAGTTTTATTTACTTTTAGACATTAGATGTAGAGGGCGGGAGGTGAAACTTTTTAAATTTCTGTCAATTATCAATTTATCGGGTTGGTTGCTTCTGGACTTCTAAAAAGCATTTGATATTCTAAGATTTATCATACACTTTCAAAGCATTACATTATGTACATTACCTGTTTATCAATTGTACAGTACACCTTAGATTGTTGTCTACAGTACACTTCTTAATCAACTATTTCAATCAAGGAAATTTAATTGGTTGCGATTAACATCCTCACATGAGAAAGCTTTTACATAAAATGCGCGACTTTATCATCAGTAATGAACTTCGTTATTGCATATCTTAATCAGTAATTGGTCAAATAAAATTGCAATTCTATTTTTATATTTGTCTTAAACCTACAATTATGAAAGGGACTGTAGATATAATAATTCACTTGACCCTCACTCTCCACTAAACCGCGCTATTTCTTCGTCCAGAGTACTGCACTACACGCAGACAGCTTAGTTGAGGGTGGCCATTTTTTAGAGTGAAACCCTTGAAACTTTGCTCTGTGGCAAATTGAAACGATATCGTTGTTTTTTATCATGAAAAGTGTAAATTCAGACAATTTGTTTGATGGGATCTTTGCAGAAATCCACAAGTTATTGTGACCAAAAAAAAATTATTTTGTGACCAGAAAAATATATATACCGGGTTACCAACAAAGGAAGATCCTGAGAAGATGTCCCAAAACTCTTAAAGTTTTAATGTTTAGGTTCTACCTTCCTTGATCCTTTTATTTATCTCAATTTTTTTCAAGGCTGGACAGGAGAGCACTGTAACTTGAAAACAGAAACTGAATGTCAAGACGGATTGGACAACGACAAAGGTAAGCATATTGTTATAACTTGTAGCTAAAATACAATAGTGTGTCAAAAAAAACGCTGATAAGGTTTTTTTTATTTTTTTTTTGTATTTCTACTCTCCCAGAGGAATTGAGTCTTTTTCTCAAATTCAAATTGTCTGATCCCTATGTCTTTAAACTTTGCTGGTGTAAACTTTTGGCATTTCAAACTTAGATTACTTGACAGACCTAATACAATTCATAGTTTGGAATATCTCCGGTCTACGCCATTGGGTTGTAAAGATAAAATTAGAGTTTGTGGCAAAGACTCAATTCCTTTTCAGACTTTTGAGAAATGCATTACTAGGCCTCAATTTCGCGTAGTTATTCTAGTTTGGGACACCCTGTTGAACAAACCATATGGTAATCATAGAACGGCAGGAGAGGTAGAAATAGGAAAAAATGGACAAAACAGAACAGAAAATCTGTTTACGGAGAGGTTAAGAAGATAAATGTAATTTATTATTATGGCAAATTCAAAATTATGATCTTATTCTATAAACAGAAATGTTAATCATCGGTTTTTATCATAACAAACTTTATTTATTTAAAACAGAACAGAGTAATTTACGGGCAAATCTAAAGAACAGTAAATGTAAATTATTCAATAAATAAACTATACAATAGTATAGAACAGCTTATGTAAATCATTAGAGAAATTCTAAAAGAATCGAAGAACATCGATAAATCAAAGAATAGATTGTTATGAAAATAGGAGTAGATATTAATAAAAGAAAGAATACAATTAGATAAAAAAGATGTATATAAGGCATTCCATTATTTACTAAAGTAGGGGAAAGCTGCAAATTATGATAGTCAATTATAGGCATTAATAACAGGGGTTAGTTAGTGGAATTTAAAATGTTTTTTAATTGGGGGCATTTTTTTCAAATTGGGGGCAATTGGGGCAAATGTGTTAGTGGAATTTGAAAATATTTTTTTAATGGGGGCATTTTTTTTACAATTGGGGGCATTTTTTTTAAAGTTGGGGGCAAAAAATTATTTTGGGATCGAGAAAATCAGCTATTTTGGGAATTATATGGACCCCTGATTAATAATAGTAAGAACTCTACAAAAAATATCATGTAAGTAAAGTTATAGTATATTTTTTACAATGTATTTAAATTTTCCAGACCACCTGGGATTCTTAAACCTCCCTCTCTCCAAGTTTTCTGAGTTTTGAAATACGGAATTATAAGTTCAAAGTAAAAAGTTTTCGAAAAGATTTAAGACGGAGTGATGAAAACTTTGAAAAGGTTAAACTAGCAACAAATCATCCATTACATTTTTTCTTATTATTTTTTTCATAAAGTGACTAAAAGCGTATTTTCAAGTGAACCTACATCTAAATATGGTAATGGTCGATTCCCAACTGTTAGAGGAGCATTGTTTGTGGGCCTCGTTTTTAAAAACGAACGAAAAGACGATCTTTTTTCGTTTTTTTAACTAACAAAGCTTTGTTTTAAAAACATAAAAAATCCCTTCGTTTATTAATAGGAAATCTAAATGAAATTAATTTGAAATATTTTATTACACATCAGCCGGGGCCATCCATCTTAACCTTAACTATCCCCTGTCAGTTTGTTGAATGTTTTAAAGGCTATCGGGGTGTTTAGGGGACTGTTTTGAGCACTACTAGTTTTATGATGTTTTCAACATTCCGTTTATTGGCTTTAATTTTAAGTAAACTCAGGGAGCACAGAAACCTGCTCGACTCATGTTTAAGAGATGGAAGCTCGACTTGTAATTTGATAAAGGGTCTGTAGACTAATTTCATGGAACCCTCCACTCCAATAATAGCTATGTCCGATTTACAGCATCATTAAGGGTTGTCGCGAAAAAAAATTCGTTTCGCGAAAATTTTCGCATTTTTCCGCATTACATTCGCTCACGAAAAATGCAAAAATTTCGTTTTGTTTCACGAAATTTTGCTATTCTATTTCGCGAAAAAATGCGAAATTTTCGCTAAGTAAGAAATGCAAAATATTTTGCGAAAAAAAGCGAAAATTCATCAAAAAAGACATATTACAGCTTCAACACCTGTGGATTTCGCGAAACAAATTTTTGCATTTTTTCGCAAAACGTTTCGTTTGTTGCAAAGCCTAATCGTTACCCTTGAAACCTTTGCACTATCAAAACCAAGATATTCTTTTTTTCTGCCTGGAAATAGATAATTTTTAACTGTGGTTTCTCTATAAAAGTAACTTGCAGAATTATTCAGCATAGTCAAAGAAGAACATTTTCAAAATTAAATAAATTTCCGAATGGGCAAACGACGAGATCTTTCTCATCGCAAATCATATAAAGGATGTCAATCGATCTATCATTGGTCAAATCCCCGAGGTATTAACCAATCAGAGATCGGTTACACCTTTAAACTAATAATTTTATTTACTTTAATCATTGGAAAAATTTATTATAAAATTATTTATTCTTATAATATACATGTTCAACTCTACTTGTAATAAACTCTATCATACTTGCATGAATCATAATATACTAAGGTTTAAATGTTGAATTGTCAGAGACCCTTCACTTTCGAACACTCTGTTTTACTTATCAAATAAGTACTTTCCATTATGTTACACTTTTCGGTGTGGTATTGTTATTAATCTGAAACTGAATAGATTCTAATTCCACCACGCCTAACTTAATGGTCAACTATAAATTTCGAGCATATTTAGCTCTGACTAGTTTACCGTGAGTAAAATAAAAAATTTAGCTATGTCAGATTGTTTAAAATATTTTCTTTTATTATTTTTCCCGCAATTCATCCAATGTTTCAAGTTAGTAAAGATAATCCAATGAAGCAGGCACAATATATAGGAGATATATGCATTTATGTATAAATATATTATATTTATATATATTATATATTTATATATATATGTATATGTATATATTTATATATATATATTAATCAATGCGGATGGATTCATGGGAAGAGATAGAGTAGGGGGATTTCTAGGGAAGGGGATAGTGGAATATTTTGGTTAAGTTTAAAGGAAAGGAATTGAGTTTTTGCAACAAACTCAATATTTCTCATCCGTTTATCATTGGATGTTGATGTTGCAAATCTAACTTAGATTATTTGATTTAACAGAATTCATAGCTTGAAATATTTAAGGTCTACGACAGTTGGTCGCAAAAACATAGGAATTAGAAAATCCGAGTTTGTTGCAAAGAAACAAATCCTTTATTGCGTCTATAATTAGAAAATTGTTAAAAACGACTCATGCTGAAGAACGTAGCGTCTATTCAAATTCAGAAAGTTGCAATATTCAACTCGGATTGTAAAATAATCAATCTAATTCCAAACAAATCAATCAGATATTACAAAAAATAGTCATCGATTATTTTTCGACGCAATCGTATCTAGTTAATATTTCATAATATTTTTTATTTTGTTTTTTAAAATAATATTTCACTGGCGCTGGATTTCCCAAAATTCATGGAAAATATGAAAATGTCGTCTTTATTATCGAAAATCCTCGAAACAGGAAAAAAGTAACTATCAGATCATAAAACCCCCTTTATACCCTTTTCATTTTTCGCGAACACTCCCTTAACGATTGATAACGTTACCCTTAAGCCTTTATTATACAATCGTTAAGATTTTCTGTTAATCAAATTTAAATAAATATTTATAAGATGGTTTGGTTGATTGTGGAGATAGTAACTGCTGCTCCCACTTTATAATAATAATAATGAGGATAATAAAAATAATAGTAATACTAATCATTAAAAGATCGGATCTTAACAGATTTTTTTTGGATTTCACAACTATTACATCTTTAAGCCAGTAATGTGCTAATGTTGTGTTAATATCTAACGATCTCTCAAATTTAATATACCTGAAAAAGAGAGAATGAGCTAATCTCATTCCGTTTATTTAAAAGTGTTCATCCTAGGTTGTGTCCAATGGTCCACTTGCTCCTCCCTCCAGCTCCTTCTTTGATCAAGTCAAGTTCCTAATCCTAGGAGAGAAAAGTGTTCAAAGCTACGCTAAACAAGAGTTCTATGAGGTAAATAAATAATTTTGAAAAAATATTTTGATTTTGAAAGAAAGCCCAGCATCAATCATTATTACTGTCCTTTTTATATTTTCGCTTTTGTAAATTTTGTATCACTGTATGTATGTATAAGAAAAATCATTTAATTTAGAATTTATTACTAAATTAAATCCAATTTTTAAATTTACAAAAATCCAAATATTTAATACGAAATCAAATAATAAAGCAAAAATGTGCAAAACATTTCTTTTGAAATATGACAATTATTGTATCAAAATAGTGTTAAATTCAAATATCAGATTTTGAATTTAATTTTTATTTTTCAGGAGGAAAGAGCTTCAGTGGTGCGGGGTCGTGTATTGACCCGGACGGGTGAAGGTATAATCGGTGTCCGTGTTAGTGTCGACCGTAACTCTGGTGCATCTAACTATGGGTTCACACTGACCCGCCCTGGTGGCTGGTTTGACATGCTGGTCAATGGAGGCGGGGCCGTTACATTACAGTTTCAGCGGTAAGTCGCTCAAAGGGACTACTATGGTAAAAAAAAGGGGGGATATCATCTTTCATTTTACATACATCTATAACTATATTAAAAAGTCTGAGTCAAGTTTTGATCTCTGAAATACCCTATCAAAGATAACAGAAAATAATCAAATTTTAAAAAACCTGCATTTAATCAAAGAAAGTTGGTTTTGAAAATAAAACTTACGGAATTTTAAACCAGGGTCCAGGACCTTCCAATTTATCGCAAAGGACAAAACATGAAAAATAAAAACAGTAAACCTTCGTTGTACAAAACTTTGGATGAATTTTAATTTGATCTGTCATTTCTTGGCCTTTACTTAAGGCATCATAACAATATTTTTTTAGACTAATAATACAAATTAAACTAATGGATAAGGTTGGTTAAAGCCTTAATATTTAACACTGAATACAGAATGAAATAAACCAAATTTTATTTTTCTGTTTGAAAATAAGTTGACAATTTTTTAGCATTTTTTTTGGTTTCTTATCACTATTTATGATTATAGTAATAAACAGCTATTAAAGACACCCTTAATGTCAAAATAAGCAAATTAATTTATGAATGAATATTAATCTAAAGGGAATGAAAGTGTTTAATTAAAGGTTTGAGGTCTTGGTTTTGAATTCTGTTCTATTCTATTTGAGAGTCTAACCAATTCTATTGTTATATTCTCATTGTTCATTTATAACTATAAAGTCTGTAGTATAGGAATCCATATAATTCATTTTATCGCTTTTTGGCACACTTTGCTAACACTATATGATTTCATAATAGTGGATGAAGCATAATCTAACTATTCTTTGAGACAGTATTAGTAAAATATCATATACAGACATAATCTAACTATTCTTTGAGACAGTATTAGTAAAATATCATATACAGACATAATCTAACTATTCTTTGAGACAGTATTAGTAAAATATCATGTACAGACATAATATAACTATTCTTTGAGACAGTATTAGTAAAATATCATATACAGACATAATCTAACTATTCTTTGAGACAGCAATAGTAAAATATCATATACAGACGTCATGACAAATTTTATAAATAACATAAGCCAATGTAATAACAAATGTGCTGGTTTTCAATCAATAAAATTGTTTGCAATTACTTCCTTCGTAACTTAAACATCTAATTTGTCTAAGGTTCCCCATGCTAAACTCTGATTGTATTACAGACATAACTGGTCTTAGCAAAACTTGTTAAAGTCAAATTTCTCGTAAAAAAAATGATTGATAACAAATCTATAAATGAATGGCTGAAGTAGTTCTACTATAAAATCGATGTTAAATTGCTTAGGGCTATGACTATCAATTGCAAAGACACCACAGGTTCAGTAGAATTAAATTTTTCCATTTCCTGATAGCACCGATTTAAGGATTCATAACTCTAATTGGATAATGAGATAGATAGAAAGATACTTTACCTCTACTATTTCTATTGGTTCAGAATACAACAAACATATGACTGAACCCTGATTGGATCAGGCACTAATGGATTCTTGAAAGCTTAATAAGGATCGTAAATCAATTATATTTTCAACAACTACATAAATAAAATTCTATTTGTTTAGGTCTCCTTTCAAACCTTTAACAAGGACCTCGCATGTTCCTTGGAACGAGATCCATGTCCTGGAACCTATCATAATGTCCTCAAGTCCTAGACTAGGCATATCCTGGGCAGAGGAGGATTCATCTCAAGGAACCAGTTCAAACCTCAAAGAAATAAAGTTAATGGATTTTTTAAGGGAGTTTAAGCGACCCTCCATGCACATATATTTAGATTCTAGTACAATAGATGGCAACTGAGACTTTATACACTCTCAGTACAGTTATGTGTTCTTTATTTTCTGTTATTACACTTTTTTATTTAATCTTGGAAAACATGTCAACTATTGTTAGAAAATTTCATTTTCCTTGTTATATTTGACACTTGTGACGTCATGTATAATTGGTCCATTTCACTGTTGCCACATATTGTACTTGATAATCTATTTGAACTATTTACGAATGCGTCGAAAAATAATCGATGACTATTAATTGTAATATCTGAATGATTTGCTTGGAATTAAATTGATTTGCTTACGATCCGAGTTGAATGTTGCATCTTTCTGAATTTGTATGGACGCTGCGTTCTTCGGTATTAGTCGTTTTTAACAATTTTCTCCCTATAGACGCAACAGATAGAAATAAGATTAGCAGCGATCAAAAGCGCTTTTTTATCGCATTAAGCCTATACCCCCTTACATTTTTCGCGAACACTCCCTTTAATTAAATTTATATCAAGAGCGGAAACTGTTAATAAGATTTGTTAAGAAAAAAACATTCCGTTCAAACGGCTACCTGAAAAACTGTTTTTCGAACACTTGTAACCGTTGACGAATGGATTGAAAAAAGTCTGAACAATAACAAAAATTGAAAACAAGGCTTGGAGGGCAGGAGAAGCCTTTTCCAAGAAGTCATTGTTCATTAGATACAAGTTTACAAAAAAAAACAGTTCTATATATCTGTCCAAAATAAAATCAAACTTATATTCTCCTCTTCTTAGTTTTATATCTACTTTAGAAAATTAGAGGCAATAACGTAAAATAAATTATGTTACAACATATTACTTTATGTTTTTATACTTTACCAGTTTCGGAATTTTAAGAGCCAAGAAAAGTCTTTCTCCTCCCCCCCCCACAACCACTCAACCACCCACGTCCATTCCTAAACCAAATCCTTCTATACCCCCCCCCTTCCCCACCTCCCTCCAGGCCTGGACCCCCCCCCTTCCCCCCACCTCCCTCCAGGCCTGGCTACACATCTTTTCAAATAAAATGTTTTTCCTATCTCAAAGTAGGATTTGGGGATTTTCTCAAGGCCGGGACACTTCTTCGAATTTATAAAATATTCGCAATAAAATTTAATTGAATGAATTTCAATGGATTCATATTGAAATTTTGCATTTTTCATTTAGCAGGAGTAATGGAATTTCTGAAATCACATATTTTTTAGTTTAACAAGAAAAAATGTATAAATTGCCTTAAACGAAAAGCGATTCGGTAAAAGATTTATTTTTTCTTTAATTAATAAAAACAAATTTTTGTAATTATTTAAGTGTGGTCACTTTGTCTTTATCCACATTTTTTTCCTATTTTTGTATAATTATTTTCATTTGGTTTGGTTTGGTTTAAAGGAACACGGTACACTGCGCCCTGTGTACAGCATGACCCGGAAGTAAAACCCCATGTGGCGCCTTCTTACTCATCAGCTGACCAAGTAAAGAGATTTTTCTAATTTCCGATTTCTTGAACTTTTAAAGCCTTTAAAGGGTGCCTGTAAACTTTATCTCTTTCATTATTTTTTTGCAATTATCATTAGACATATACCCCTAAATCCCGTATAACACTGTTTAGTAATAATGTTAGGCCAGAATCTCCGTATAATCAAATTTGCCATAGTCTCTCGTTATACAGTGAACCCCTTAATAACGAATACATCGGAAGAATTTATCAAATGTCGTCTTGACAATTTTTCAACGAGTTTTATACTATATTTCGTAAATTTCAGTATTTGAGAAAATAAATAAATAACTATGACTATGCGGGAACAGTTTTAAAGAGTTCCATATAGTTATTTAATTAAAAACCTAAATATCTGCAATATTCCATTATCAGAAAGTGAAGAATACGACATTTGATTAATTCTTTCGATGTATTCGTTATTAAGGGTTTCACTGTAGTTGACGGTCTATACAATTAGTAAAGGATTAGCGTACATCATCACTCTATACACTATAACCTCGTTGGATGCACTATATATATAGAAAATAACCTTTACCGACTCTTTTAATTATTTAGAGTTGTTGTTTTAAAAGATTAATGTATGTTCATGTCTCCTAGGAGCCTTCAGTCCAGCAATCTGTAAATCCAGACACAGGAGTTCTAACTCAATCAATTAAGCTTCCAGGAAACCAATTTATAAATGTCGTCTTTTCTTATTTTCATCTTATTGCTGTTTTTCTGAATGATAATAAGGTGCAACTAGAGTATTTTGACGTGCAATAATGTAAAAATTTGCTAGTGCTGGCTGAAAAAAAGAATAAATCCGTAAAATGTTGAACTACATTGATATCCAGAAAACTCTGGAATAGGAAGACGACTTTAAGACTCAATGTATGACTTTAAATAGTCTATTGAGCATGGTATACAGAAATTTGTGGAGTGTAAACAGACCCATTTCATTTAAGTATTGTTAAAATAAGTGTTAAATAAAACTATTTGCTTTGAAATACACTTAAATATTGCTATAAAATCGTCTTCCCATTTCAGAGTTTTCTGGTTATCACTGTATTTGAAGAAAAATCACATTATATTTGTCATTGATTTTCCTTTTACAATTTCAAGAGGATTTGTTTCATTATTTTATACCTTTGTTCAGAGAATAAGAAATATATATTTAACAGTTTCAGAGAAGAATGTTATATGTTTAAAGGGACTGTAAAGGAAAAATGAAAGAGGGTATAGGATGAAACCTGAGAATTTCAGGCGTTGAACGATACATAAGACATTTATCTGATGTTTCTGTCTCCGGAAATGGATATAAAACTGTGTCAATTTATACGAAAATCCAATGGCGGTGCAGTATACTGGTTACGTGATTTCCGTCAGTATCAAGTGACCCGTACACTGCACTGTCATTGGCGGGAGTTCTTGTGACGTAATACGGACTTATAAATAATATTATCATTTATTTCCATTAAAAATGCAAAATAAAAATAGAAAAATTATAATGGGAGCAAACCTGAGATTCTCAGGTTTCTGTGGGATATAATCGTTTTCAGGTTGCTTGCATATTTGCTGAATATGATCTGTTTAAACTTTTATACAATATTTCATAGATTTTCATATAATTTTGACACAGTTTTCTATCAATTTCTCGAGACAGGAACATCAGATAGATGTCTTATATGTATCGTTCAACGCCTGAGATTCTTAGGTTTTATCCTATACCCCAATTCATTTTTCCTTTACAGTCCCTTTAATATAATTTTTATTCTTTAATTTTTTTATTTTTCGTAATTTTTATTATTTTTGAAAATTAAATTTGTTGGTTTAAGGTTCAAAACTGTACCTTGTTTATCAATCATCTCCTTCTTCCGTTCTCACTATCTTCCTAACCCCCTTCTCCTCCACCTCATCCTCCTCCACCACCTCCTCCTCCACCACCACTCCCTCCATCTCCTTTATTAACAATACCATGAACAACCTCTTTAGAATTCATATTAAGATCACAATTGCCGGAGTAGTTACGAGGTTAGTAAAGTGATTGATTTTTTAATTGCTTAATTGGTTACTTTTTTTAATGTTGGATTGGTTGATTTACTACTTAATTAATAAGCTGATTTATTGGTTAATTGACTGTTTGTTTGTTTAATTGGTTGTTTGTTTAATTGGTTGATTGATTCATTTGGTTGCTTGGTTAATTGATTTGTTACTTGATTGAATGATTGGTTAATTGATTGGTTGTGCGATTTGTTGATTAATTGATTGGGTTATTGTTTAATTGCTTAATTGGCTGATTGATTGATGGATTGATTGTCTAATTGGTTGGTTAATATATTAATTACTTGATTAATATTATTCACATCATCATTTTTTTTATTATTATTATAATCATTATTATTATTATTACAGGAAACAATTTGAAGTTGAAGAAGGTCTACTGTATACATTCTCCTGGGACAAGGAAAGCCTCACATTTACAATATTTAAAAATACTTGTAAAACATGATTTTTTTTATTTTAGCTTTAAACCAGAATTTTAATATTGTTCAGGTTTATCTGTCGTAAACACACAGCTTATTCTATACATTACCATGATTTGATATTTTTATCCCTTTTATGGCGGCATTAAACTCTTCTACATAGCTCTGTTCTCAATTTATAGGAATTTAAAAGAAAATTCTAATTTTTCATAAAGAGAATATCTAACTTTAACTATCTAAATTTTTAAAAAACTTTTACTATTTTAGATAATTTACTTTTTCACTTTTTTAATAGTATTTGTTGGCCTTTTCAAAAGTTGCCCCTTTCAGGGAAAATTTCTCTCTTTAAAAAAGATGTTTACTGTTCAACAACATTTAGCCTTTTTTATCTTTACTTTTTTAAGAGAATTGCCTTTTTTCAAATTCAAGTTGTCCTTTTTAAAAAGATCTTTTTTATCCATAATAGCATTTTCTCTTAAAAAAATAAACCCTTTTCCTTTGTGAAAATAACTTTTCCCTGTTTTTCCAAGAAGATTGACCCTTTAACCCTTAACAGGCTGGGTGTGGCGTTTAACGCCCACCCCCCTTCCGTAATATTTACACTATTACCGTGAAATTTTGTGACTTTTAATGAATAGTAATTTAAGGGATTTTTTGCAAAAAATATTTTTTTTTGAATTTACAGGGTAAGGTACAGGGTGGAAAAAAGTCCTGTTTGTGAAAAAAAATCTAAAATAGCCCATAACTTTTTTGTGACTAAAGCTACAGATCTAAAAACTATATTTTCGAAAAGCCCTTGAAAAATGCATGTAGAAACATGTGTCACATTTTGATATTTGTTTTTAAAAAAATATTTTTTTCATTTTTTTACCCTTTTTTAGGCATTTTTTTCAACCCTCCATAGCACCAAAGTTAAAGTTATAGTTCTAATTTTTTTTCTTTGAGCTGGGCTTGAAAAATTGGGCTATAAACATGCATTTCAACCGTATACCTTTTCTCTAAGGCCATTATACATTGACTCAGACCCCCCAGCCTTTATAGGATTAAAAAGATTACTTGATTTTTTAAAAATAACATTTGGTCTTTTTTAGAATTTGATAATTTTCAGAATAATTTTTATTTTACAGAACTTTTCGGCATTTTTTTGCTAAGAAATTTGAGCTTCAATTGAAAATAGCTCAGAAATTTGAAATTTAATAAATAATTATGTTGACTGAATAATAATGGTGTGCTATGTGTACAGTTGAATGTTTACAAACAACGAGTGTACGGTGCGGCAAATGCTCGAATTTCTGTGGGCTACCAGTATACTGGCTGTCAAGCGGTCATCTGGTATTCATTTGTTCAGAGGTTAGTTAGTTAGTTAGTCTTTATTAGTTTTTATTCAGAGGTTAGTCAAACTTTCGAGTTTTGGTTAGAGACATAATTTAATGTTATGTAAAGCTATATTACGTAGAATTGGCTTATAGCTATTTCCATCCTGTTTCACCAAAGTTGGTGGCCTGGACCGACTTTTTAGGGGTTACCGTACTGTCAACAGATAGAAATGACAAAAATAGTTGAAATTGTTTTCATAAACATAATTATTTTATTCAAATCTGCAACTTAAAATATAATTGCACAGATTTCTGCTCTGCATTGTTTTATTTATCAGAATAGGCAACTATTTCTGTAGAAATTTCTCAAATAGGCAACTATTTCTGTAGAAATTTCTTAATTAGGCAACTATTTCTGTAGAAATTTATCAAATAGGCAACTGTTTCTGTAGAAATTTCTCAAATAGGCAACTTTTTCTGTAGAAATTTCTCAAATAGCCAACTATTTCTGTAGAAATTTCTCAAATAAGCAACTATTTCTGTAGAAATTTATCAAATAGGCAACTATTTCTGTAGAAATTTCTTAATTAGGCAACTATTTCTGTAGAAATTTATCAAATAGGCAACTATTTCTGTAGAAATACCTTATTTCATTAAATGCTATTTTAAGAATTCATGTTTGTGCTTTTCTTAAAATCGTACTTATTAGATTTTTCCCCCCCAATCTGTAACTCTAGTGTCATGACTCTATCCTAAACAGGACCTGTGATTCTACTTTTTACATTTGATGGATAGCCATATTTTCATGCATTGGTTAGTCATATTTTCTTGCATTGGTTAGTCATATTTTCTTGCATTGGTTAGTCATATTTTCTTTAATTTCTTGCGTTGGTTAGTCATAATTTATTTTGTTGGTTAGTCATAATTTCATTTGTTAATTAGTCATAATTTGTATGCATTGGTTTTTCATATTTTTGTTTGATTTGGTTATTCATATTTCATTTATTGATTAATCATATATAATGCGTTGGTGAATCGTTTTATTAATAAAGAAAACTCTCAAAATTCTAAATTTCATTTTATTTTTCGTCTAAATATATTCTCACTATTTATTTGCTACCGCCCGGCCCCGTCTTATATGAATATTTTGTACTGGACTGGCTAAGTATTTATTATATTTTACAGACCCGCCTAAAGTTATGCCGTGCCGGTACAAAATATCCACTATCCAGCTTTCAACAAACCCACCAGCTGGGCAGGCATTGGCCAGTGAGAGAGAGAGAGGATAGGGAGCCAATTTAAGTTTTAAATTAAACCAAATGCGATAAAAATGTCGAGTTTATTAGAAATAATGTTGCTCTGGTTTAAAATAGTAACAGAAGGTTCAAAACAAAAAGATGTTTTTATCTTTCTGTTTTAATATCCGAATGATCTCCAAATGTTTATAAAAATTTCNCCCCCCCTACCTTTAATTATCTTTCCTTGTTAAAAGGACTGCTGACATACTTTAAATTAACACTCCATTTACATATTATATGTCTGTTTCAATTTATTTACTTAAAAACTGTCTGATCAAGATGATTGTGAAATAAATATGCTTCTCTTTTAAAATTAATTGTTTTCAATTTTGGCTTCTTTTAAAAAGTAGTTTTGGACTTAGGCTACAGAAAAAAAATAAAGAACATTATTAGTTTTCGAAATTTTGATAAGATAAAGATTGAAAGGGTATATATATACCTCTTTAAATTGAGGGTTTCTTGAAAAAAGCACCCTACAGTATTCAAAAATAGATGAAAAAGCAAAAATGTCAGATTTCAGTAGGATATTAAATATTTTTATTTCTAGGTTGGAAGGTTACAGAGCACAGAGCACTGATATCGGAGGATGGAATTTAAATATTCATCATTCTTTAAATACAGGTTCAATCAAGATTATTAATCATTTTTTGGTAAAAATATGTCTTAATTTATTTTTTTGTTGTTTATTGTATCGTTTTCTTGTTTCTTTCAACGTAGAAACTGCTAAGCCCCGATTGCATGGTTTTTTTTTAGAAAATAATATCCACTTACCTCCGTTCCTCCACCTCTGTTATGATAAACTCCCCACTCCTCTTTAATTCTGAGTTTCTCTATTTCTTCCTGGAATTTCTATCTGAAGACCAAGAACAAAGAAAAAGCCGAGAATTTGCAATTCTAAATGTTCTAAAGTTGGCCCAAAGAAGATTTAGATATTTAAAAAAACATCTCCTGAGATGAAGAACTTTACAACTTAATTGATTAAATTTAATTCATCAAAACTAATTGAATTAATTAGTTAAATTGTTTATAATCATCAAGATATTCATTAATCTTTTCCTCGCATTTTTTGTCATTGGATTTCCCCCAATTAACTAATAAGAATTAATATTAATTTGACCAAAATAAAACCATTAATTAGCCCTCTTTCAAGCAAAATTTCTTTATTTTTCCCATTTTAATCTAACAATGTTCTCCTCTGTGGCACCTATAAAACTGCTGAAAAAGGAAAACAACATTTAGCAATCTTCTGTATTTATTGTTGTTATAAAGCAAAAAATTGTACTAATATACTAGCTTGAAAATGAATTTTGTAAGTAAAACGGATTTTGTACGTTTTAAAAAATGCTGTGTTTCATTTATAATCATATAAGAGTCACTTTTCTATTCCACCTTCTTTGAGTCCTAATTTACCAAGTTTAAGTTTGAACTTTGGTTATTGTTGTCTAATTGCAGGTTTAGATGCTGGGGAGTTTTATGAAGAAGATCTTCAGGGTTCAGGTCATCCTAGAGATTTCAATTGTGAAACTACAGACTGTTCTTCTAGTTTACTCAATGTTGTCTCATTAGCTGCAGGTAGTTACTCTTCCAGTTTACTCAATGTTGTCTCATTAACCGCAGGTAGTTACTCTTCCAGTTTACTCAATGTTGTCTCATTAGCTGCAGGTAGTTACTCTTCCAGATTACTCAATGTTTTCTTATTAGCTGCAGGTAGTTACTCTTCCAGTTTACTCAATGTTGTCGCATTAGCTTCAGGTAGTTAATCTTCCAGTTTATTCAATGTTTCTCATTAGCTGCAGGTAGTTACTAGCTCTTCCAGTTTACTCAATGTTGTCTCATTAACCGCAGGTAGTTATAATGGCTTCATTTCCTACCTTTCAGCTTTCACCTTGTTTTATATCCTTCATTTTACATTAACTACAAAGATCTGTAAAAAAACTGAATTTATTTTAAGTAACATAAAAAATAATTTTACTCTAAGAAGAAAAAGATGTAACTTTTATAAATCTTTAGAAAAGCTACTTTGCAAAAACTCTGAAAAAATATTGTCTTTGTTTATATTCTAATGTCTAATTTCTAAATTTTCTTGTCGTCAATGTACTAGGTAAATATGCTAATTTCACTATATTTAAAGAGAAATGTCTTACTTTTTTAAAATCTAATTCGTAATAATCTTGATCTTTTAACATTTTATCCCCCCCCCCCCCCGGAAGAGCTTTATACTTAATTTGACATATAATGCAAGTACGCTACTGCATTAAAAACTCGATTTTTGGGTAAAATTTATCTATGTTACTTTGATAAAGTTGATTGAGTAAGATTATCTGCGCGCGAAGCGCAAAATTTTTTAAAACATTTTTTCAAATAATTAATGGTAATCATGGACATGGAGAATGGAGATCAAGTTACTAAACGGGGATATTTGTGTCCCCAAGATTCTAGAGGGGGGGGGGATTACCCCTAAGATTCTTGGGGGGTAATTACCCCCAGGATTCTAGGGGGGGGGGGGGTAAGTAACCCCAATAACCCCCCTTATTTACGCCACTGTTGGTTCTATTAATTAATGTATATTTAAATGTTTGGTTTAGGTCCTGATGGTTCAGTGTACATTGGTGATTACAATCTTGTACGTCGGTTGTATCCAGATGGGCGGCTAGCTACTGTACTGCAGTTTAAGTCTAAACAGGTTACTAGCTGTACTGCAAAACGAGAAGTAGTTAAACAACTAGTTAAATCAATTCTCTTTTGCGCCTGATTAAGTTAGAGAGAAGTCTGTTTCAACTATACTGAAAAAATATAATATTCTTTTTCTGAGAATTCATTTTTTTCTAAGAACTATTTATTGACTTTATCTTAATACAAGATGAAACTATTATTTCTACAAATATAAACAGAACATATCCTGTAAGGGACTGTTAGCGTTATTTTAAATAATTTGAAGGCTGCCATACCCTATCCACAATAGTTCCAGTTTATTCTCTGTAAACGCTTAATTTAAAATTGTCCACAAAAACGCTTGTTATTGTTGAAAACTATGCAATCATGTTTAAAATAATATTATCCATCTTCTAATAGTCACACAAAATTAACACTTTTTTATCATATTTTAAACACCTGTTTTTCATAAAATATTCGGAATTTTATTAATAATAAAACGGAAGAACCCTCTTTTAAGCGCACGCACGGCACACTTAAGCTCTATAGCCTCCCCGACGCCGCGCCGCCGGAACTTTATCTTTAGAGTTTAAAAACCGGATTTCTTTGTCCGTCGCTGATTATTCAAAAATTACTTTAAAATACGTGAACGGTCTCTTCAAGCATACCAAATATTTATATTTAATTTAGAATGATTTTAAGCTGCATTTAAGTCAGATAATTCAAATAGAATTCCTATTCAGCGGAAATCACTTTGATCTTCTATACATCTAGATAAATACTTATATCTGAATATGATTGAATTTAACTTTGTTATTCTTAGGAGGTCATAATATTATTAAAATTGATATTACTGTTATCATTATTTCTGATTTTTACTATTATTATTATTATTATTATTATTGTTATTATTAATATCACTTTGATTATCATTTTTTACCCCACAAACTGAATCATTAGAGTTTGTACCAAAGTCTAAATAGCCTGAAAAAAATCACAAAATGTTTCAATTGTAAAAAAGGGATGTGCTTTCAGTAGAGTCGTTATTGGTAGTTTTTTTTGCCCACATTTTCTTTTAGTGTCGAAATTTGACATAATGTGAAAGTTATAAATATTTTTAAAATTTTGTATTCTAAACATTTTGTTTCTGTAAGTATGTCAAAATTTGACCTTGGCAGAAGATCCTTTCAAAAAACGATGCAAAAACGATGCAAAAACGGTGCAAAAACGATGCAAAAACGATGCAAAAACGATGCAAAAACGATACAAAAACGAAGCAAAAATGAATGTATATTTAGGATCGTTTTGGGATACTTTTTCCAACTTTTAAAAAAAGTTAAAAAGTTTAATAAAATAAAATTTTAAAATAGTACAGGGTTGAAATCTTGGTTTATTTAATTTTTTCTTAAAACCATCCAGAACGATAATCAAGTAACAGAACTAATTGTACATCGTTGTTGACACAAATAAAAGAACAAAAGGGATATTCGGTAACTTTATTGAATAATAGCATGAAATGAGAAATAAAAGCAAAGTTTAAAAATATTGACCCTTAATTGGGAGTATCTAAACGGTTGAAAATGAAATAACATTGATTATTAGTATTGAAAGGAATGGAACAGTTGGAGCTTCATGATGGTCAGCTTGCAGGTGTCAGCACCTTGGCATCAAAGGGTTCACATCTAGGCGACGGTCCTGGAGGGTTTGCAGTCTGTAACATGTGTGGGGAGGAACGATTTGCCTCTCATACCACAGGACATGCGACTGGGTTTGCAGTCTGTAACATGTGTGGGGAGGAACGATTTGCCTCTCATACCACAGGACATGCGACTGTTTTGTGGATTTATAGATAGATAGATAGATAGATAGATAGATAGATAGATAGATAGACAGATAGATAGATAGATAGATAGATAGATAGATAGATAGATAAATAGATAAATAGATAGATAGAAAGAAAGATATAAAGATATAAAGATAGAAAGATAGATAGAAAATGAGAGAATACTTTAATCTTTATTTTGATTAATTGATTGATTGCGAATTTGAATTTAAAACGCCTTTAATATTGTGTGAACCAGACGACTGTGGAAAAGGAATAAGACATTAAAGCAATACTTAAGTGTATTTGATGTTGTTACAAAGCAAACAGTTTACCAGTAACATATAAAATCACTTATTAAGTTACACGGGTATGTTTTCACTGCAAAAATTGCGGTGTCCATGTTCATTGGACTATTATTGTCATAACTGGAGTCTAAAAGTAGTCATTCAGAAATCTCTGAACTAGGAAGACGACTTTTAGACTCAATTTATTATTTAAATAGTCTAATGGACAGAACACACAAGAATTGTGCATTGTAAAAAGGCCCAAAACACAAAATATGTGATTTTATAACTTACTAGTAAAACTATGCCATCTTGTCTGTCTGTTTGGGTGTTTTTCTGTTTTTTGAATGCAATAAACGTCAAAACGGCTGAACCGATCGGGGCCCAAATTTTGTGTGGGACCTCACGTAAAGATGAAGAGAAGATGCTTCCAGATAAAGCAGCAATTAAAAGTTGAAATAGATGATGGTCCCGAAGCGCCTTAAAAGCCTAGTAAAATACAATTAATTATTTCATTAATGTCGTCTTCAAATTCTATATTTTTCGGTTATGACTGTATTCCAGAGTGTTCTGGTTAAATATTACAATGATAATGTTTAGTGAAGCGCACCAGGTGTGGAGAATATCTAAACTAGAGAAGGTTGACCAGCCCAGCAGTAACTGGGAGGTTGTGGCAGGGACAGGTAGATATCTGATTTACAACCGTATCCTTAAATTCTGTTTTTCTAGTTAACAAGTTTTATTTCATGAATATTGTTAAGGAACTGACTTTTTGCCACAACCTCAAATTTTCTAATTTCAATATCTCTGCAACCAGTGGGTTTAACCCTTTGATATTTCAAACTTAGATTATTTGATCTACCAGAATTAATAGTTTGAAATATCTAAGGTCTACGACATTGGGTTGCCAAGATATATGGATAAGAATATTTGAGTTTGTGGCAAAAACTCTGTTCCTTTCTGGCAGAAAGAAAGCAACGTGAGAATAAATCAATTTTCGACTCGATATGTCAGGATTTCTAATTCAACTGCGAGATAAAGGTTTCAACCTGATGGCGTATTTCAAACTTAGATCATTTGATCTAACAGAATTAAAAGTTTCTAAAGTCTACGACATTGGGTTGCAAAGATATGTGGCAAAGAATAAATTCTTATATACCAAGATATATGTATATATAAATAGTAAAATCATGTGAAAATGCTATTCTATCTAGTTAGATATAATATATATTATATTTACATAACTCAAGAAATATAAAAATTGTCCTTAAACATTCTTTAAGTAAATATTTACAAATTATCTTTTTTACAAAGCATAATCTGAGTTTGTTTCCCCTTTTTCCATTTGATAACCAAATTTCTTGTTTTCTTTATAAAGTTGTTTGTTTATTTTCTTGTGATTTTTAACATTTTTTAAATATTGATTTTGATTGTTATTGTGGACAAAAATTTAATTTCAAAAAATGTGGAATTAATTCATATTTTTTTACTCTGTGAGCGTTGAAGCTTCTTTAACACTGAATTTTCAATATTGCAGGTGAGAAGTGTACTCCTGGAGATAGTCTGGGGTGCGGGGATGGTGGACCAGCTAAGGAGGCTAAGTTGACCTTTCCTAAAGGAATAGCGGTCAGCATTGATAGAACTATCTATGTTACAGATGGGAAAAGGAACGCAAAGTTCAAAATATTAATTTTTTTTAAAGTATTCTGTAAGAAACTGATTAATCGCCACAAACTTATGTTTGCCACCTTATGATGGTGTAAACCTTTGATATTTAAGCCTTTCATTATTCGATACAGCAGAATTATTTTTAAAATAAAAAAAATATTTTGACTTGATGATTATAGATTGAGAATGATAGACCAATCAGGAGTTATAACAACAATTGTAGGAGATACGGTAATAAATATAACATTTTTTTGGGATAGGATAAAAACAATGAACAAATGAAAGTTGTCAAGTTACTGGATTACTAAATGCAGCACATTCGATGAGAAACTTGCCAATTACTCCTTTAAAAATAAAAATAAAAATAAGTGCTAACGAGTTCTAAAATGTACAAGTCTAGGACTCCAAAAATCTATTTGTGAGATAGTGACTAGTGGGGTAAAATTAAAGGCCAACCCGTTGGGACACTTCAAGGTTGATCCAATCTTGAAAATTGTAGCAACTTTTTAAAGAGGGGTGGATCTATGTGTGGGATAACAATTTTTTTTGTGAGGGTTCTTTACGGATTTAAAAGTTCAAAGTTGGAAGTTTAAGAATGAAAATGGTAAAACTGACAACCAACAACATTGCTGAACTAGTTTTCAGAAAAATAGTATTTCTTGTTATTTCTTGTTTCTTGTTGTAACTAGATCAACTTCTCTCAATCTGATTCTGGTTCTTAACTCATAGGTTTCTTTAATATCTCAATTCTCTGAATATGCATATTAATATTGAATATAAAATCTACTTGATATTATTGAATTATTGAAGCCTTTTCTGCTTCATTCTCTATAAAAAAAAAAACGATATAAAAATACAAAATTGAAAAAAAATATTTCTTTTCTTATGTTTAGGTTTAGATATATTTTAATTACATTTTTACTTTTATTTTTATTAAAGATAATAACACACAGAGTATAAACTGACAAAATATGGTGTTGAATTATTATCTATATCACCCCTGTTTTCGTACTTTTCTACCGTTGAATTTTTGCCGGTAGCTTTTCTAAGAAATTACCCATGGATTCCACAGTACAAAAAAAGCAAGATAATGGATGATTTTCATCCCAATCAATTGATAGAATTCAGATTCTCAACTGTACCTTTGAAACCTTTATCTGAGCCAGTATCTGGGAGATATTGTCGTAAAAGGATTTCACACTTTGGAACTTTGGAATGAATTACATATTTTAAAAAGTTAAATTTATTTACTTTTTTAGTCCCGAGGCCACCTGACTCCTATCAGCTGTGGGTTTAGTATGCTAGCTGATAAGGTTGACCTACATTGGCCAGGGAAACTAGGGGTCAACCCAGTAGATGGAACTCTTCATATAGTGGATGAAAATCAGGTAGAATAGGCATTCATTTTCTAATCTTAAGTTTGGCATAACAATTTCCCTTGTTTTCAGTCATCATATTTTACTGAAAATACCTATTTAAGATATTTCAAATATTACAACAATCACTTTATTCAATTCCCTTATCATAAATTACAAATCTAACCAAAGAGAAGAAAATTGAAAAACCAGTAGAAAGGTTAGATCTAGTCGACACTGTTAAATATAGATTTTTTTTGTAGTTGTTTTTAATAAATTAAAGTAAAGATAAGAAAATATATTTTTTAGGTCTTAAAACTAACATCAGATAAAAGACTAGAAGTAGCTGCAGGATTAAATATGCGCTGCAAGAAAGGAAATAGGTAATGTAATACCTTTTTTGTTATGCTCATAAATTTTACGTAATACTGACGTTTGGTAAACGTGCATTGGTTTGCTGGGTAAATAAGTTTAAATGTGGCGCAATTAGATTACACCTTTTTTATGTCATTATTTATGCAATTAGGCGTATTAAAGTCGTAACCCTAAAGCTAGGACCTATCCTTGATTTCTAATCTATCTATCTATCTATAGGATTGTTAAAGTTCTAAACCTAGAGCTAGGACCTATCCTTGATTTCTAATCTATCTATCTATCTATAGGATTGTTGAAGTTCTAAACCTAGAGCTAGGACCTATCCTTGATATATTATAATCTATCTATCTATCTATCTATAGGAGTGTTGAGGTCCTAAACCTAGACCTAGAACTATCCTTGATATATCCTTATCTATCTATCTATCTATCTATCTATAGGAGTGTTGAAGTCCTAAACTTAGAGCTAGGACCTATCCTTGATATATTATAATCTATCTATCTATCTATCTATGGGAGTGTTGAGGTCCTAAACCTAGACCTAGAACTATCCTTGATATATCCTTATCTATCTATCTATAGGAGTGTTGAGGTCCTAAACCTAGAGCTAGGACCTATCCTTGATATGGGATTCTCTCCGGATGGTTCTCTACTAGTTGCTGAGAATAGAGGAGAGCAGGGCTTTTCTTTACACAGGTTGGATATACAAATATGAAACCGGCTATGAACTCTTAATCTCTGGAAATTACAAACTCTAACTTTGACTGATTTAAGCGTAATTAAACGTTTCTCTTTTTTTCTTTGTAATTTGGTAAAACTTATTTGTTGGTGCATATTTTGAATAATTAAAATGAAATTCTCCCTGTGAAGTGTGCACTGTGCCGCCATTTTGTTTTTCAAAATTTCATTATTTGACAAAAAACTTATTATTTAGGATTTCTTTTTCTGGTGAAGTGACGTCAGTGTTCAAAGACAGGGTTTGTCTCCTGTGTAAAGAATCGTCCGGGACGAATTTCGGCAACATGTCGTCCAGGACTAATATCTCAGATATTTCTGCTCTAGTTACAGATCCAGCCGGGAATATTATTCTAGCAGATAATAACAGGTATAAATTTAAACTACACCATTTTTCTGTAATTATATCTTTGTGTGTGAATAAATCTTTATAATAATAATAATAATAATATTACTTTATAACTCACGCCAAACTTCTTTTAACTTTGAAATGCATGCCTTTATAAGTTAGAATTAAAGAATAAGAAAAAGCTATTTTTAACCAGTTAATTAATGTCAGGCTTTGCTTTTTAAAATCATTAAAAAATCTATCAGATTTTTTTTTGAAAAAACTGTTTTTTTTTACATTATTCAAAATATTTTCTCGAACAGAAGATAAAACTGAACAACATTGACCCATTCGTCTAATTCTGCCAAAAAATAAACAACTTGCAATTTCCTGAACATAATTTTTTCAACTGATATGAATATGTCATGCTCAGGTTAAGATTGTCCAAATTGATGCCAGCAGCAAGCATACGAGGAACTGAGCTTCGAGTAAAGAACAGAGTTGGCGAGATCATCGTATTTAATAGGTTAGATGGACAATAGGTTAGATGGACAATAACAAAATTGTTATCTCCATTTTTCCTCTTTCATTTATCTATTTATCTATCTATCCATCTATCTTTCTATCTATTTATCTATCTATCTATCTATCTATTTATCTATCTATCTATCTATCTATCTATCTACCTCTTAGTCTATATATCTATCTACCTCTTAGTCTATATATCTATTTATCTATCTATCTATCTATCTATCTATCTTTCTATTTATCTATCTATCTATCTATCTATCTATCTATCTATCTATCTATCTATCTATCTATCTATCTATCTATCCATCTATCTATCTATCTATCTATCTATCTATCTATCTATCTTTCTATCTCTCTATCTATCTATCTCTCTATTTATATATCTATCTATTTATATATCTATCTATCTAGATATGGTCAGCATGAATCTACCTTACTCCCCTCTGGACAGATAAAATATAGTTTTGATTACTCTAGTACTCTAGGAACACTCTCTAAGGAAATACAACATTAACAATTAAAAATTAATTTGCCATTTATTTGACACTTTTTGCTTCTTAAAGCTTTTTAAAGCTTCTTAAAGCTACTTAAAGCTTCTTAATTAAAGCTTCTTAAAGCTTCTTAAAGCTTCTTAAAGCATCTTAAAGCTACTTAAAGCTTCTTAAAGCATCTTAAAGCTTCTTAAAGCTACTTAAAGCTTCTTAAAACTTCTTAATTAAAGCTTCTTAAAGCTTCTTAAAGCTTCTTAAAGCTTCTTAAAGCTTCTTAAAGCTTCTTAAAGATTCTCAAAGATTCTTAAAGCTTCTTAAAACTTCTTAAAGCTTCTTAAAGCATCTTAAAGCTTCTTAAAGCTTCTTAAAGCTTCTTAAAGCTTGTTAAAGCTTCTTAAAGCTTCTTAAAGCTTCTTAAAGCTTCTTAAAGCTTCTTAAAGCTTCTTAAAGCTTCTTAAAGCATCTTAAAGCTGCCACAAACTAAAATTCTCTCATTTCTATTTCTTGCAACTTTAAGGTGTAAACTGAAAACCTTTGTGATTTTAGAATTATTTTATTTAGAATATTTAAGGTCTACAACATTGGGTTTCAAAAGATAGGGATGGGAAAATCGTAGTTTTTTGGCAAAGACTCAATATCTTTAACATAAACACTTGCCTAGATAGATAAATCAATTATAAAATACTTTTCTCTAATAATTGTTATGAAAAAGATTGTATTTAATTCGGGTTTTTAAAAAAATAATGTTGTTAATGTTGATTATTTCAAGATTACTGATTCTATTGGAAATAAGATAATTCTGCACAGAGATTATACGGGAACTGTCAAGGAACAAGATATAATCTGATATTGATTAGAGCCTTGACCTTGACCTTGACCTTCACCGTTACTTTGACATTAACCTTAACATTTACCTTGACCTTTTAACCTGGATTAGATCTTGATCCGGAACTATATCATTTATATCGATTTAAATCGTTTAAAATTTATTCTAGATGACAAAGCTATAATTTGTTTGATACTAAATAACCTAATCTTTATACTTGATACTTGATCTTTACCTAGCAATATAATTTATATCGGTTTCTTCAGAGAATTGAAAATACATTCGGAGAACAAATTCTGGTTCAGATAAACTCGAAAGGTAAAATAAAGTAAAACTCTTTTAATCTGCACCACCCCTATTTCACCTTGATTTACCCCCCCCCCCGCCCTCCTGCAGCCCTTTTGGTTTCTCAACTTCGAAATGAAATGCTGCATTGCACATTGGAATTGGCAACCGTGGTAGGCATTTCGCTACATTAGGATTCTCGGAGCATAATTAGGATTATACAGGGAACACACAGGGAAAAGGATGGGGAAGGGAACACACAAAGAAAAGGATGGGGAAGGGAGGGAGAAAATAGCAGAATAAGAACGGGATACGGAAGAGGAAGGAAAGGAAACGGAGGGGAAAAGAGGGGGAGGGGTTAAAGGAAGGAAGTTAAAAAAATAAAGAGTTGAGGTAGAGGGATGGGAAGGAGGCTCAAATCGGCAAGGAAACTGGAAGAAAGAAACGGCAAGGGGAAGGATCAGGGAGACAAAGAAAGGTAAGAGTAAGGGAGTAAGACAGTGAGTTGGGAAAGGGGGTATGAAAGGGGGAAGCGGGAGAGTTACAGAATGAGAAAGGAATGGAATGAAGTAGAAAATAGAATGAAGGGAAAGGACGCAGAGAAGGGAGCAGGAAAGGGTTGTTAAAGGGAAAGGAAAAGGAAAGAAGGAAGCAAAAGAGATGTAAAAGGAACGAAGAGGAAAAGAAAATAGAAGAGTTATGGAATAATATAATGAAAGGAAGGAAGGAAAGGAAAGAAATGGAGGAAGGAAACTGGTAGAGAAAGGTAGAGAAGAGAAGGAAGGATCAGGTATAGAGAGGAGAAGGACGGAATAGGGGTAGAAGAGAGAAAAGGGAAATAGAATAAAATTTTATGAGAACATTAGAAGCTTCCAAGGACTATGTAATGGAATTCTTCAAATATTTTGAGAAATTATTGGATAAAAAGTTTCTATTATCAGACCATAGTTTCTAAATATTTTATCAGTGGAAAAAGAGAAATGATTTCAATGGTTGACATATTTTAAATGGCTTAAAATGGTTTTAAAAGGTTGAAATTGGTTGAAAATAGTTAAAAATAGTTAAAAATAGTTTAAAATAGTTGAAAATAGTTGAAAATAGTTGAAAATAGTTGAAAATAGTTAAATATAGTTGAAAATAAAAGGAAATAGTTAAAAATAGTTGAAAATAGTTGAAAATAGTTGAAAATAGTCGAAAATAGTTGAAAATAGTTGAAAATAGTTCAAAATAGTTGAAAATAGTTAAAAATAGAGAAAAAAAAAGGAAATAGTTAAAAATAGTTAAAAATAGTCGAAAATAGTTGAAAATAGTTGAAAATAGTCGAAAATAGTTGATTATAGTTGAAAATAGTTGAAAATAGTTGAAAATAGTTGAAAATAGTTGAAAAAGTTGAAAATAGTTGAAAAAGTTGAAAATAGTTGAAAATAGTTAAAAATAGTTGAAAATAGTTGAAAATAGTTGAAAATAGTTGAAAATAGTTGGAAATAGTTAAAAATATTTAAATGAAAACAAATAAAGGAAAATTAAGAAAATTGAATAAAGATGAATTTAAAAAATATTAGAAAAGTAAAGTTGGTGGAAGGTTGAAAGAAGCCGGATTTTAAAAAAATATTAATTTTATTTATTTTCAGGACTTCTGGAAAGTGTGAAAAATTCACAAATTATGGAAACTAATCTACAATACTCACAGGGATTATTTTATTCTAAAAACATGTTAAGCCCCTAATCTTAGAAACCTAGAACTAGATTTCCTAATCAGGAATAAAAAATATAATGATAAAAAAGAAATGACTTTATATGATAGAATGAAAAATTACAAAGGAAGTAAAATTATGTAGATAATAACGAAATAAATTACTTCCTGAATATCAAATTTGACAATCATTGTAGATAAGATATAAATGCCAAATGTATCATTTACTCGCAGACAAATTAGAACTAATGTATCATTTACTCTCAGACAAATTAGAACCAATGAAAATTTAAACCCCCGAGGGATTCAATAATAAACCTGAGGGTTAATAATGAGTCCCGAGCGGGTTTAAATTATCTTTAATTCTAGATTTTCTGAGAAAAGCTGACATTCCTCTCCTGAGCCGGTTAAAACATGGACCTGAATGAATAAGTTTTTTATATTAACGAGATTCATTGAAAATTGTTTCATACCAAAAAAAAGTTGATTAAAGAGAATAAATGAAAATATAAAGGATGGACTTTTAACACAGCTTTGGACTACTGTTGGGGATTTGTTCACTTATCAATATAATTCTCAGGTAAATAATCAATCAATCAATTAATCAGTCAATCTTGTTTTTAAGCAATTATATAATCGATTAATCAAACAACAACTGCAACTACGTAATCAAAGAATAGAAGTTAATCATATAATCAATCAATAAAGCATTTAATCAATCATTGAATCATCAAATTGACCATGCAATCATGTAGTCACTTAATCAAACATGTACTTAATCAAGTAAACAATTAATAAATCAAACATTATGTCAATCAATCAATCATAATATTTAATTGTTTTTAGAAATCAATAAGTCAATATATATATATATATATATATATATCTGTATATGAGCGAAAGAGCTTTATTATATATTGAAGATATTAGATAATATTGAACCCATTGAACACTTCACTTCACTTAACTTCACTTCACTTCACTTCACTTCACTTCACTTCACTTCACTTCACTTCACTTCACTTCACTTCACTTCACTTCACTTCACTTCACTTCACTTCACTTCACTTCACTTCACTTCACTTCACTTCACTTCACTTCACTTCACTTCACTTCACTTCACTTCACTTCACTTCACTTCACTTCACTTCACTTCACTTCACTTCACTTCACTTCACTTCACTTCACTTCACTTCACTTCACTTCACTTCACTTCACTTCACTTCACTTCACTTCACTTCACTTCACTTCACTTCACTTCACTTCANTTATTATTATTATTATTATTATTATTATTATTACTATTATTATTATAATTATCATTATGATTACTATTATTTTTTCTAGATCTGACCCGTCCTGTTTAAGTAAGATGAAGGTTTGCAACCAGGTTCTCCAGGATGGCAAGGTTATACAACCAGACTCTCCAGGTATAGATAGAACTAGGAGTATAGTTTAGGTTCCCCGGATACCAGGGTTAAACAACCAGACAATCCAGGTATAAATAGAACTAGGAGTATAGTTTAGGTTCCCCAGGATACCTGGATTATACGACCAGACTCTCCAGGTATAGATAGAACTAGGAGTATAGTTTAGGTTGCCCTGGATACCAGGGTTAAACAACCAGACTCTCTAGGTATAGGTAGAAATGGGACAAGGTGAACAAAGGTTAAGACCAATTTCATCACAGAAAATACACACAAACCCTATCCCTCCTAATGTGTTTATTTATATTTCTAGAAACGGTTCAAATATTATGAACCTGAAATATTGAAAATAGAGTTTTGAAAACTTGAAGCCTGCCTCTGTGTATAAAGTATATACTTCAACTCAAATCAGAGAATTTTCATCCAAACTCTGAGGATTTTATCTTTACATTCAATTCAAGGTTCATACAAACTTGCTGTCCATTGTACATCATATCTGAGATTCTACAGTGAGACCCATGAAACTGTGGAGGAGGAAGACGACTTTTAAATAGTTCAATATATAGCATATAGATTGTGATTTCTACCTTCTAAGTTGATTTCCAGGATACTGGTAAAACTATCTTCTTTATAACAACATCAAATACAGATTAAATGGCTTAAAGGGAGTGACCGGCTATGTAGGTTAGTTGAACTGAGTATGCAGTGTTGTGGAAAACTTCTTTCGGATTCATTTGAGACATATATAACTATTTAAAGAACTGTAAATTCTGAGTTTGAGCGCAAATTGATCTTTAAAAAGTTTTATGTCTCAAATGAATCTGAAAGAAGTTTTCCACAACACTGCATACTCAGTTCAACTACCTTACATAGCCGGTCACTCCCTTTAAATGTTGTTTCCCTATTCCACAGATGTATGGGTCCCACTGTTTTCTGTTTATGCAATCAATCAAGTATTTGGTTACTATCTACCTATCTATCAATTTATAAATCTATCTCTCAATCAATCTATCAATCTATCCATCCATCCATTATCTATCTATCTATAAATCTACTTCAATATCTGCAAGGATAACTGTTGTGCAATATAGTGGAATAAAATGCAAATATATTTCTCCAGGCTTGCATTCAAGCAGATTTGTTATCTTTTCATTTGATATAATCTTAATACAACATTGCCTCTAATTTATTGTTGTAAAGATTAATACACTGATTTTAGTAAATTGTTACAAAACCTTCATGGTATTCATCTCAACAATACCATCATCCCATTCATCTAAACAATACCATCATCCCATTCATCCCAACAATATCATCATCTCATCAATCCCAACTACACCAGTATTCCATTCATCTCAACAATACCATCATCCCATTCATCTCAACAATACCATCATCCCATTCATCCCAACAATACCATCATCTCATTCATCCCAACTGCACCAGTATCCCATTCATCTCAATAATACTATCATCCCATTCATCCCAACAATACCATCATCTCATTCATCCCAACAATATCATCATCTCATCAATCCCAACTATTTCAAAATCCCACCCTTTCCATCCAATCCCATTCATCCCATCCATCCCATCCATCCCATCCTTCCCATTCAGTCCATCCAAACTATACCATAATCCCATAAATACAATTCATCCCATTCATCCCATTTTATTAGATTACAAAAATACATTTAAAAAAATAACAATAAGAATTATTTATATATAGTTCTGATAAGCAAAGAGTTTACTATTTTTACAGATTTTACAGATATAATCCAATACTAGATTAGGTCAGGAACACTGCTTACTACTTGTTATATATATACAAGCTGAAGTGCGCGGCAATACTCGTGGGATTAAAAATAAAATCCATCTTGTAAAATAAAGTGGGGATTCACGTAAAAAATCGGCCAAATTGGTTCGGCCGTTTTTCCAGCTTGAAACATCAAATCAAATTTGTTTAACCTGTATTACCTCTGTCCCCGTCCCCATGGGTTCCCTAAAAAATATTCAGCCAAATTGCTTCAGCGTTTGGCTAGCTTGAAAAAAACTGCAACTGCAACTCCAAATAACTTTCTTTGCATCACATATATTAAAATATTAAAATATTGAATAAAAATAAGATTAAAGTTATTTTACATTGTCTTTGTTCACTGTGACATAATATACAAACTATACAGTTTAAAAATTACTTTTAACATTTCCATTAGCATCTTTTTGCTGATTTTTTCATAAACCTATGTATGATACTGAAAAATTTCTGTAAATGAAAACTGCTCATTTGAAGAATGACCATTATACAATTATGATAAATTGTTGAAATTCATTTGAAAGAAGATGTAATATGGGTAAATAAAGAAAATCTAAATCTATTCTGGAGATTTGGCATCCAGGACGGTTTTTTGTATCTCAAAAACTCCATTTCATTGTTTCTCCTCTTCTCTTCTCATTCCAAATAGGAAATATTTCTTGCTCAATATTTCTTTTCACATCAAACCTAAAAAGGAATTGAGTCTTTGTCCCAAACTCTAATATATAATCTAAGTTGGAATTATTTAGATTCACAACACCAGGTTGCAAAGATAAAGGAAATAAGAAAATGTTCTGTTTGTGGCAAAAACTTAAATCATTTAAATTCATTAAAAAAATGTCCGCCAAAATTTTGTTGGCTTGCTTCAATTTGTCCTAATATAAATAACTGGCCCATCTAATGAAAATGTTCTTATGAAAAAAATACAACATTTTGAAAATTAACATTTTTAGTTTGTTTAATGCTTTGCGGGAAAAATGTGTCAAAGAACGGATATAGATTTTCATATTTGTATTAATCCTTTAAAGTATATTTAAGTTGACTCATTTTTATATTTCTTAGGAGCTCGAGGAAACTTTCTGGATGGAAAATGGAATATAATTTGGAAGGTAAGCGCCATAGAGAAAGGAAATGAAGATGTAAAGCTTACCTCAGATGTACACAACCGACCACCCTATTAATTAATTAGTAGAGTGGTCGGTTGTATACATCACGATATGTTTACGTATCTAACACTGTATACACTTGTATATAGAGTGATCGTATTTCTTGGGGGGTGGTTAAATGTAGATAATTGAATATTTGTATAGAGAGTTAGATAGACACTTAGATATAGATATAGATTTTCTTTCTTCATAAAAAAAATTTTTGCCCCCCCCCCCCCTAAGCATTTATAGGGGGGAGGGGGGGGGCAAGAAGTCTATACCCTGTTCCGTAATTTTCTTTTATCCAGAATATCAGATGTATTGACTAACTGAATATCCTGTTGGTAAGGTTAGTTTTCCCATGATTGAGTATAATTAAACATTTTTCTTACCCTCCCCCTATAAATGCTTGGGGGGGGGGGGCAAAAACAATTAATCTTTTAAAAAGAAAGAAAATTTAAGAAAAATTCAATTCTATAAAATCTCCCTTAGAAATACGAACACTCAATATACAAGTGTACAGTGTACGTAAGATACGTAAATATATCGTGATGTACACAACCGACCACCTAATTAATTAATTAATAGGGTGGTTGGTTGTGTACATTTGAGGTAAGCTTTACCTCTTCGTTTCCTTGCTCTATGGTAAGCGCTTTAAAATGCTTAAGGAAACTAATTATTTACCACAAAACTGAATTTTTAAATTATTTTATTTTTTTCATTTTTAAACCCTTGATTAACTAAATCTCTAACATTAATTTAACTATCTGCATTAATAATTTGATTTTAAAAGAACCATCATGCCTATTTGAAAGAATGACTTGTGCTATTTAAAAAAAAATACAAAAAAATGTAAAAAATACTGTTCCAGGATGAGGGTAAGGGTGTGGATGTTGAAGATGCTCTGGGTCGAGTAGAATACAGCTCCAGGCTTAAGGGTGGTCTGCTCCCTGTGTTTTGGAACAGCATAGGATCTGCTCCTTGTAATAATACATTCGATGGGTAACTTTCTTTTCAAGGAATTGAGTACATCGCATCAAACTCGACTTTTCTAATCACTGCAACCTGACTTTGTAGACCTTTGATATTTCAAACTATGTTTTCTGCCATATCAAATTATCAAAAATTTACCTCAAAGGGTTGCAAACATAGATTAATCAACAATAGCAGATAAGACACTAGATGTCGTTTTTTTTAAGATTGAGGGGTTTTTCTTTCACAATAACCCTGAGCCAAAGGGGTTATGCGCATACTCTCGCTCTGTCTTGTAATTCTTGAAAAGACGACATCTAGTGTCCTATCTGTTATTGTTAATTAATCTATGGTTGCAAATATGTAAGTATAAAAAGTAGAGTTTATTGCAAGTTATCAGATTTTTTCATCCTTCAACAATTTCTATATATATATATATAATGTACATGTATCTACAACTCTTTAAACAATAGAAATTGTTTTAAATAAGTTAATTTTAAGGTTTGGACGATTACTCCGTGTTATCTGTGGTTCTGCTACATCTGAGTTTACCTACACTAGTCGAGGAAACATGTTGAACTCTAGGTCCTCATGTAACCAAGCAGTTCATCAATATACCTATACAGATACTCACATGGTAAATATATCTAGTGTAGTGGTAACACAGGGTTACACACAAAACATGAGACCATGAGAGGCACAAATTGTTTTTGGTCTTTTCTTCTTAAAAAGCATCTATGGTTCTATACAGAATACACATGTAAACTTGTTTCTTCCTGCCAAATTATTCAGAAGATTATTCAAATTATATTCAAGATAGAACTCCAAATTCAACCTTTTGATTATCGTATTTAAAGATTTTGAGGTCGTCAGTAAAGTCTCATTCTTTTTTAGTACCCTGTAGTATAAAAAATAAGATGTTTTTACTTTGACATGTTAGAACATATCTAAAACTAACTTTTTTTGAAAAAAAATTCATTGAGTAAACTTGGATTGCAAAAGCCTCAAAAGTAGAGTTTTTTACATGTTTACATGTTACTAGTTCCTTTGCTGTTCTAACATGCCGAGGTAAAATGTATTTAATTCTATTCTTATTGATTCTACTAAACGTAATAAAATACGACTGATAAAAAGAAAGGACTTGAGTTGTACTTATTCTGTCACTTCAGATCTAAGCAGCCCCATTAAGCATATTTGTAGAGTTGAAGCGATTCTACGGGGTTTCATCTACAATTCCTGTTTTTTTTGCTAATAGTTTACTTTTGAAAGAAATTGTCGACACAAATTCTAATAATTTAACAATGAGAACGAAATTTTTATCAGAAATTTTGACAATTTCCTTCATTGTTTCTCTTTGATAAATCAGCAAGTTACTTTCATGGAACCCCACAATTGGAATATACCACTTTGAATCGGGCATGCCCCTAACATGAGGTGCACTGGAAATTACGTCGACCAGACCCTTTAACAGAATATATTTACGTCGACAGTCCCTTTAACAGAATATTTTTACATCACAGTGCCTTTAGTAGAATATATTTACGTCGACAGTCCCTTTAGCAGAATATATTTACGTCGGCAGTCCCTTTAACAGAATATATTTACGTCGACAGTCCCTTTAGCAGAATATATTTACGTCGACAGTCCCTTTAACGGAATATATTTACCTCGACAGTCTCTTTAACAGAATAAATTTACGTTGACAGTCCTTTTAACAGAATATTTTTACGTTGAAAGTCCCTTTAACAGAATATATTTACGTCGACAGTCTCATTAACAAAATATATTTACGTTGACAGTCCCTTTAACGGAATATTTTTAGCCACGAGAAATTGATATTGGAGGAGGAAGAAAGTACACGTATGTCTATGATCCATTTGGTGGACTGGAGCATGTTGTGCTACCTAATGGAGGCAGACATGTTTTTGGAATGGAGCAAACACCAGGAGAGTTTAATTTCAACTCAACACACTACAGAAAGACCTATAAAACTGTTGAATATGAAAATAACTGATTTTAAATAGACCATTGAACATAAAACACAGCAATTGTGCAGTGTAAACAGACTCATTTAATTTATTGATTTGATTTTACAGTTGCTGGTAAAACTATTTGCTTTAGAAACCATCAAATACATTTAGATTGATTAAATGTCCTTTTCCTATTTCACAGTTTTGTGGGTCTCACTTCTAGAAGTTTATATTTAACATATTCAGCACTTCAACTTTCTAATTTGTTTTAAATTGCAGGTTCTGACTTTTCTTGTGAAGGGTTAAACTAAAGAGTAGTCGAATTAAGTACATCTAGAATATTCTTTTTGATCTTTAAGACTTGAAAATTTACAGTAAAAATAACGTTATAAAATTTCAAATTTTCCTTTTTATGAGTTTTCTCCCTGTCTAGCTCTGGTTTAAGTAGTATAGTTTGAAAGGTAGAAAGGTTTGTGGTAATCTATTTTATGTTTGAGTAAATGTTGAAATTATACTCTTGGTGCAGGATCGGTGAGGGTATTCCACGGTATCCCTGGAGTAACCGGAGAATTCTCTCTTAGATTTGATATCAGGGGAAACAGAATAGAAACCGAGTATCCGGAGGGATCTCCCATCACCCTCATCAAAACTACAGAGGATGGTAACCCTGCTCAAATTGTCGCTGGTGACCGTGTATCCAACCTGGAGTATACAGTTGACGGATTGTTATCTGGTGTCCAACATATCAGAGATATTAGTATCAGAACAAGGATTAGGTTCATACAGTTTGGAGTTATGGCGGAGCAAAGAATAAACTTTGATGCAAAGTCAGCTCTGGCGGATGCCAAGTTTTCTTACGATTATTGGAATAATTTGAATATCCAGGGGATAAAAGGGAGGATTGGTGGTCAACAAATCCCCAGGGTGGGATTCTACCAAACACCAACTCAAGATGGTAAAATACCAAACGAAAGTGGTAATTTTTATTACTCTCTAGATAGTGTGAATGGAACCAAGCTAAGTGATGGGAATGCAATTTACTTGAGGACTGAAAGCCTTGTCACTTTATCTATCAATACTAGAGATGTTTTCACCGCAGAATATAAATTCAATTCTTGTAACAAGCTACAAGAAACAAAAATGCTTCTTAAACGGAGCTCTGGGTTTTTCAAACAGACCAAAAAATATTCATATGACGATGCTGGACAGTTAGTAGAGGTGCAAGAAAATACATTTCTGTGGAAATATGAATATGATAGAAATGGTAACATGAAGAATCTTGTGTTTGGTAAAACTGTTCATGCCTTTGAATATAATGCTTGGGATCAGTTGGTCAGATATAATACAGCTGAACTGAGTTATGATGGTAAGGGGAAACTTGTGAAGAATCACAAACAATTCCAGTTCAAGTATGGATCCAATAATCTGCTGATTGAGGCTAGTCATGCGAGAACTCGGAAGAAGATATTTTATTTTTATGATCATTTGGATAGATTGGTTGGTAGGAGGGATGATGAGGGTCGGATTACCCAGTTCTATTACTCCAACCCTGAGACCCCATATCTAGTATCTCACATTTATCTCCCTAGAGAGGATAGTATTACCTCACTGGTATATGATGCAGAGAGTAACCTTATCTTTGCACAAGTTCACCAGGACCAGTATTATATCATATCAGATCAGACCGGGGCTCCCTTTCTTTTCTTCTCTCACTCCGGTAACCTAGTTAAAGAAGTAAACCGGAGTCCTTTTGGACAAATCACCTACGACTCTAACCCAGAACTCAGTATACCCTTGGGACCTGGAGGTGGAATTGTGGATCCGGATACTGGAGTGCTTCATCTTCAAGGAAATCAGGGATCAACCGCATTTGATCCATTTTTAGGGATTTATCTTGTTCCAGCTTGGGAGGATATGCTGGAAAACATCTACAAGCCTGAACTGTTCCATGCATACCGTAGAAATGGGAATGATCCAGTCAATAGCCCTCTTCGCTTTGCTCAAGGTAACATAAAGAAAAATTATAAGTTTTAGATTCTAATACAACCTAAAAAGACATTTTTCACTCTGTGTATGAAGTTTTTCTATCGTTGGTTAAAACTCTCATCTCTTTTATACTCTCTTATCCACACTCACCTACTTAATTCCAGGCTCAATCTATACTAGGGAATATAAAACCTTTATCTATCCTCTCCTCAATCCTTAACTATATTTTTCCTATAACATGTATAAAGGGCTTATTGCATATTTTGTGTTTAACAAAAAATCTTTTTTCTCTAATTTAGTTTTCAGATTAAAAAGATGCATTTAACAAATTTATTGTTTTATTCAGTAAAAATTAAAAACACCACAAAAAGTAATTTATTTTATTTCTAAATCTGAAAGATGAAAATTTTAAAATCATTAAACAAGCCCCTAAAAATCCTATACTTGATTTCCCTTTGTTCATAAATCTTTATATCTTCCTTTTCTCACATACACTTCTATCCATTCACATAAACTTAATATCCTGATAAGCACAATAATCTCCCACCTCTCTGTTGCAGGGTTCCCCAACTTTGCTGAGATTCTGGGAGGAATTATACCAAAGTTTGAAAGTTCTGCAAGACAAAGAAGAAAACCGGTTTCACAAAATCTCAACTACCTGGCTCAAATAAACAAAATGGTTCCGGTTAGAAAGCCATCAGATGTTTCGCAAGTATCTTCGCATCTCCTTGCTGATTCATCCGTTCTGATGGAGTCTCCAACCAACATGGAGTTCCCGTTAGCTCGTCGTGAACCAATCCTGGGAAAGTTTATTGTTCTCAGTCAGTTGGAAGAGAGAGTAAATGTTGTGTCAGGCCCACAGGCAAATCAAATTTACAATAATGTTTTTACATCAGTTCTCAACAACTCCTTTCATACTAACATTCATACTCAGTTGCATGGGAAAACTGTTTGGCATTTTACCAAATCAAACTTGGAAGCGTCAACCAATGACATTGTCATGCTTAGACGGCTAGGCTCTGCTGTTAATCTGACTGTTCATGATGGTGTAAGTGACAATCGTAAAGTTGTTGATGTAAGAGTTCATGTAGGTCTGTCCATTATCAATATCAGATATGGAGTTGACGCTGTAAAAGAGAAGAATCGATTGATACGGCATGCTCTACGAAGTTTATCAGTGCGTGTATGGGAGGAGGAACTAGAGCGGGATGTATGGAGCACAGAAGAAAAGAATGAAATGATAGCACATGGAAGTCTTCAAGGCTGGGAGCTGGAGTATAGTCAAGCTCCTGCACTTTATCCTCAACTAGCCTGGGATAGATTAAACATTCACGTTGTTAGATCTAGAAAACATTCCTTGCACTAAACCAGAGAATTAGGGCTGGGCAAAGTTAATGAAAAGATTGAAATGATAAATTGTAGTGAATATACATTATACATATTAAAAACAAGCTACTATACCTAACAAGCACACTATATACAGGGTGATAAACTTCTTAATTTTCAATGTAGTGGTTATGAGAACTATCAAAATATTTTAGAAAATGCTAGATCACAAAAGAGTTGATGCACTTAGTCATTTGTGCAAAGTTCGCATGGCTTAATTGTACATGTATATTGTACATACCCACAGGATGCATGTACCTTGTACAACCAGGTTTGCCAAACAAATCTTCCAACTTTAATATTCATTCTTATTTGTGTTTCAACAATTCAGTTTGTAAAAGAAGCAAATCTAAATGAGTTGATATCTAGTCTACCTACTCTAACATTAGTTTACATTTTTGGAGAAAATCTCCAAAAGGAATCTTAGAAAATCGGATTAAAGGAAGAAAATGTATTAAATTTTAAATTCAAATTAAAACTTTACATTTCTCTAGTGGAAAATTATTGTTTTAAAACTTTTATTTTTGCTGACAAATGAGTCCAATCTATTGAGAAATATTCTCAGAAAATAGAAAAGGAAATTCTAGATTTTACTTTTTCCATTTTTAAAAGACAGAAATTTAAGAAAACCTAAAAGTCATAAATTTACAAGTATTCCTAAATCAAAACATGTTTGATTCTTGAGGATGAAAAATGATTTTTGTAAACGTTTCAATGCAAATGTATTAAATATTTCCCTACTTTTAAGTACAGGACAGGGTGCCAAAAAGAAATCTAAAAATGCATCTTTACAAAGTACTATTTTGAACTAATCCATCCAAAAAGTACAGGCGAGTACCCATACTGAGCACACATGGCCAAATTGTAAATTAACACGGAAAAAAAGTTTTGACATAGTAGTAAAATTATGATAATTTGTAACTTGAACTTTTGTATTTTTAATCCGTTTGGTCCAACAGACTTTATTAATTTCTATTCGATGGTCCGAAAGTTTGACCAATAAGAGCTTTATCTTCTGAAAAGGTTGACCAATCAAAAGCCATAAAAGTCTGAATTAGACAATAAGAGATCGTGGAAATTGGAATCAGCTGTTTTCACGGATTAAGCTCTAAAAATAAGTCTCCAAATTAAAAGATGCAACATGCGGTTTCTTATACAAAACAGAATTTCCCAGATTTAAACGTTAAAAAAAAGTTGTACCCCACTATCTATTCTTGTGTAAAAGTTCAGAACATATCTGTACTGTACTGTCAGTGCTTAAAGTACTGCAGTGTACATATGGCATTATTACATACAATTGCAATCTCACGAAAAAGATTTTAAATTGAAGAACAAGGTATATATTTGAAAACACAGTTTCTTGTACAAAATTACAAAATGAAAATGTTAAAGCAAAGGTTTAAGTAAATTAATAAAATAACCTTGTCTTTGATTTTATATCTTTGATCTCACTTCAAGTCCAAAAAAACTGTGATATATTTTTATTATTAGCTGTTGTAAAATTGAATAAAATTATTTAATCCTTCATTTGTTTAATTATAAAAAAGAAGTAACAAATTCTACTCCCTATATCTTTAAAACCTGATGGCGTTTGATATTTCAAACTAAATTGAACCTATCATTCGCTAAAATTCTAATCCTTTTATCTTTGCCACCTGACTTTTTTATTTTTCAAACTTTAATTTCTTTCAGATCAAATAACCTAAATTAATAATATAAAAGGTGTACACTGTATATGTACTTATTTGGAACTGTTCCTCTCTGTTAACTCTATCTGATTGGAAAATGTTTTTTTTAGATTTATGAAAAATTATAAAAGATTTATAGAAACACATTTGATAAAGTTATTCTATCCGCACTAATTTTATATAGCTAAAAATTAGGAAACCATAATTTTTAAATCAACAATCAAAGTTATTTAAGCTTATTCATCGTTTAATTGTTGATAAAATTTTAGAAATCTCGGGATTAAAAAGTTTTTATTTTTCAAAGAAATTGAGATAGGAGTCACTTCGGAAACATTTGCTGTTTCTTCCATTAGCATTGATCTCATCAAAACAACTTCATTATTGTGAGTTTTTCATTGGAAAGATGATAAAGTCGTTAAGCTTTACTATAAACTTTTCGTCATTAGATATAGCCAAGGTCAGCCTTTAGGTCGTCTAGGCCTTAACTTGTCATTTTTAGTAAAAATAAAGTGTATCCTCGTGTCATGTTTTATGAAACACCCTGTATAGGATAAAAAGGAAGTATATCCTCGTGTCAAGTTTTGTGGGACACCCTGTACAAGATACAATTAAAGTGTATTGTTTATTGGGACACCCTGTACAAGATAAGATGGAAGTATATCGACGTGTCAGGTTTTATAAATCACCCTGTGGAACACAAAAATTAAAGTTGATAGTTTATTGGGACAACTTGTCTGAGATGAAATGAAAGTATAATGTTTTGTCATTTTTTTTTTGGAAACGCACTGTACTAGAAAAAAGAAGTTTTATCCCCGTGTCAACACAATCTCAACAAATTCCCCCCGGGTTCCAAGTTTAAACACAACTCATCTATGATATTCTTAATCAGTTCTACAATTTTATACAATTATTTCCTTGAGAGAGCTAGAGCTTGAGGTTGGGTTTTCACTAGAAATTAATTCCGATTTCAACATTCCATCTTGATATTAAATAAGGGTCGTTTCAACTTATTTGCTTCATCTAGGGTGTATATTTTCTCAAAAATCCCCCACCCCCCTTTAAAAATATTTTATTATGCCCAGATGATAATTTTTGGGGTAAAAAGTATCGCATCTGAATCGTGTCCACATACTTTGGTTTATAATAAAAGGATTATATAGAATCTCTGATAAGAAAAACTAAATTAACTTTGGAAGAAGTGGTAGGTTGAAGGAAAGGGTACTNCAGGAGGGGGGAAAGGGGATGAGAAGATATTCATTCTTTTATCTAAACCAAGTTTTATTTATGCTGGCTCGACAAACTTTTCAAAGAGTTATTTTCTACAAATTAAATCTTAATTTAAAACTTAACTTGAAAACAATATATTAGGAATGCAATGAAGGAAGGAAAGGATGAAAAAAAGAAGAATTAAAGGAAAGAAAGAAAAAAGAAGAATGAAAGGGAAGGAAAGAAACGAATGAAGAATGAAAAAGAAAAATGAAAGGAAAGGACTGGTTAACCCGGTTCTGGCATCGCTTTTAGTGGGTTTTCCCTGTATGTGTGGCAGTGACATTTCCCTGTATATGTGTGGCACCTATAGTGCCAGGGAAGAGACAAATGAAGAATGAAAAAAGAAGATGGAAATGGAAGGTAAGAATGAAAAAGAAGAAGGAAATGGAAGGGAAGAATAAAAAAGAAGAAGGAAATGGAAAGGAAGAATGAAAAAGAAGATGGAAATGGAAGAGAAGAATGAAAAAGAAGAATGAAATGAAAGGGAAGAATGAAAAAGAAGAAGGAAATGAAAGGGAAGAATGAAAAAGAAGAAGGAAATGAAAGGGAAGAATGAGAAATAAGATGGAAATGGAAGAGAAGAATGAAAAAGAAGATGGAAATGGAAGGGAAGTATGAAAAAGAAGATGAAAATGGAAGGGAAGAATGAAAAAGAAGAAGTAAATGGAAGGGAAGAATGAAAAAGAAGAAGGAATTGGAAGGGAAGAATGAAAAAGAAGATGGAAATGGAAGAGAAGAATGAAAAAGAAGATGGAAATGGAAGGGAAGAATGAAAAAGAAGATGGAAATGGAAGAGAAGAATGGAAGGAAAGGGAAGGGAAGAATGAAAAAAAAAGATGGAAATGGAAGGGAAGAATGAAAAAGAAGATGGAAATGGAAGGGAAGAATGAAAAAGAAGAAGTAAATGGAAGGGAAGAATGAAAAAGAAGATGGAAATGGAAGGGAATAATGAAAAAGAAGAAGGAAGTGGAAGAGAAGAATGAAAAAGAAGATGGAAATGGAAGGGAAGAATGAAAAAGAAAATGGAAATGGAAGGGAAGAATGAAAAAGAAGAAGTAAATGGAAGGGAAGAATGAAAAAGAAGATGGAAATGGAAGGGAAGAATGAAAAAGAAGAAGGAAATGAAAGGGAAGAATGAAAAAGAAGAAGAAAATGGAAGAGAAGAATGAAAAAAGAAGAATGAAATGGAAGAGAAGAATGAAAAAGAAGAAGGAAATGGAAGAGAAGAATGAAAAAAAGAAGGAAATGGAAGGGAAGAATGAAAAAGAAAAAGTAAATGGAAGGGAAGAATGAAAAAGAAGATGGAAATGGAAGGGAAGAATGAAAAAGAAGAATGAAATGGAAGAGAAGAATGAAAAAGAAGAATGAAAATGAAGAAGGAAATGGAAGAGAAAAATGAAAATAAAGAAGGAAATGGAAGGGAAGAATGAAAAAGAAGAAGGAAATGGAGGGGAAGAATGAAAAAGAAGAATGAAATGGAAGAGAAGAATGAAAAAGAAGAATGAAATGGAAGAGAAGAATGAAAAAGAAGAAGGAAATGGAAGGGAAGAATGAAAAAGAAGAAGTAAATGGAAGGGAAGAATGAAAAAGAAGAAGGAAATGGAAGGGAAGAATGAAAAAAGGAAATGGAAGGGAAGCATGAGAAAGAAGAAAGAAATGGAAGGGAATTGAAGAATGAAAAAGGAAAAAAGAAAAATTAAAGGGAGGGAAAGTGAAGAATGAAGATTGGAAAGAAAGGAAAAAAAAGATTAAATAATAATTGGAAAGAAAAGGCGAAGAATGAAGAATAAAAGAAAAGTACAAAGAATAAAAGGGAAGTATAAAGAATAAAAGGGAAGTATGAAGAATAAAAGGAAAGTATGAAGAATAAAAGGGAAGTATAAAGAATAAAAGGAAAGTATAAAGCATAAAAGGGAAGTCCAAAGAATAAAAGGGAAGTTTAAAGAATAAATGGCAGTACAAGGAATAAGAGGGAAGTATAAAGAATAAAAAAGAAGTATAAAAAATAAAAGGAAAGTAAAAAGAATAAAAGGGAAGTATAAAGAACAAAGGGAAGTATAAAGAATAAAATGGCAGTACAAGGAATAAGAGGGAAGTATGATAAATAAAAGGGAAGTATAAAGAATAAAAGGGAAGTATAAAGAATAAAAAGGAAGTATGAAGAATAAAAGGGAAGTGCTAAGAAAAAAAAGGGAAGTATGAATAATAAAAGGGAAGTATGAAGAATAAAAGGGAACTATAAAGAATAAAAGGGAATTATAAAGAATAAAAGGGAAGTACAAAGAATAAAAGGGAAGTATAAAGAATAAATGGCAGTACAAGGAATAAGAGGGAAGTATGAAGAATAAAAGGGAAGTATAAAGAATAAAAGGGAAGTATCAAAAATAAAAGGAAGTTTAAAGAATAAAAGGGAAGTGTTAAGAAGAAAAAGGGAAGTATGATTAATAAAAGGGAAGTATGAAGAATAAAAGGGAAGTATAAAGAATAAAAGGGAAGTATAAAGAATAAACGGGAAGTATAAAGAATAAAAGGGAAGTATAAAGAATAAAAGGGAAATTTAAAGAA